GAGTTTGTTGGAGAAGACCGTTGGGAAACTTGTTTGTTACAGATGAGAAATAAAACATTGCATGAAATAAAACATTGCATACCATTTTAAAACGTTTTTAAAACAGTATATTTTTACATATATTAAATGCTTCAGGTTGAAAAACAAAGAACAAAAGTAGCAGATACAAAACCGTTAGACTATATCTTTACAAACGCTGGCAGGAATATTTCAGATGAAGAAATTTCATCCCGAATATACAGGTTTGACTATCCAATTCGTTGGCTTCAAAGTCCTTCAGATGCAAAGGCAATAGGATTTAGAAGAGTTTTGTTTTCAAATAGAACTAATGCATTCATGTTCGCAGTATATTTTCATGGGCAGTATAAAGGTTCTGATGGTCTAATAGACAAATTTGACGAAATGAAAATCTTTACAATTCGTTCAGACGAAAGTCTTGAGAAAACTCTAAATGACTTTCAAACTCAAATAAACAAATACTACTGGGAATTTCAAGAAAAATACCACTCTTTACTAAATGGAACATACTATCTGAAGCTAGAATACGACAAGATGAACTCCACAGTTTCATTTCAAAAGATTGAAATTAACCCTCCAAGAGATACAGAGTTTTTATATTGGGGGGTGGACAGACGTTCTTGGGCACAATTTCTTCGGTTACTAAACCAGAACGAACCATTACCACCAGATGGTCCATTTAAATTTATACTCCCACCAACAGATTTGACAGTTTATAGAAACGTGTTCGACCCTCAAAATGTCATGTGTCATGCAAGTTTCAGTTCAAGCAACAACAGTTTTCTGTGTATCGGTAAGGACTTTTATGACTTTGCTTCTAAATTCTACGAACCACCTAGTAACAGTTTCTCTGACTTTCAAGTTTGGTTCACAACAAACGGTGTGCAGCATATAATTCCATTGTACTATGACTTTTATCTCGAATTGTCTTTCATATACAACTACGGAAAAGTGCTGAAAAAGTATTGAAAAATGAGATGTTTAGGTTAGATGGTTTTAGGTGTCACTACGTCACCAGGTCCCTCGGTCCCTCGGTCCCTCGGTCATTTTAACTTCTCTGAAAAAGTGTGACAACATGACATTTAGACAACAACACAGGAGATAGATTTCATCGTATATGTTTTGTCATGAATTTCATCGTAAATGTTTTGTCAAACATGAACGTACATGTTTTTTCACCTGTTGAATTTTGTATAAAAAAGCAACCCGCTGTTTTCCGCCGGTTGGTATATTCTTCACAAAATGCTTGTTTTGAGGTCGAGCCACTTTTGGCTCCACCTGTTTTTTCAACCAAAACTCATTTTTTTCGGCAAAAATATATTTTATGTTAGCATGTTAGATCTAACACGTTTTCTAACCACTTTTCTAACATCGTAGAAAACACACAAAACTCTAGAGTTTTATACAGAATTCGGCAAAAATATATTTTATGTTAGCATGTTAGATCTAACACGTTTTCTAACCACTTTTCTAACATCGTAGAAAACTCTCGAAATTCATGAGTTTTGACACTTTCATAAAAAACATAAAAAATAAAGTTAGTTTTTTTAAAAAAATATTTTTTATTTTTATTGTAAGAACATGTTAGCAACAACTTCACCAAACTCGTTAGTCATGAACCCAACTTCAATGTTAGTAGAGATGAAAAGCTTCATTCCTTCTTCATATACTTTCGAAACAGAAATCCAGAAGATAAAGCAGGAACTTCTCCAAGGAGATTTAGACTGTAGTGCGAAAGATGAAACAAATGAAGAATATCTTTATGAAATGCAGGATATTATTGACCATCTACCTAAACTTCCTGAAATACAACAACAAAAGCTTACTATTCCAGAATTCGATGAAATAGAAGTCAAAGCAACTGACTCAGTAGAAACCAAGAAGTTCATACGTAAGGTTAACTATGAGTTTCTTGGATTTCATTGCAACCACAAAGTCATGGACAAAGACTGCGATATGGTATATAAAAATGTTTCTGACATATACAAATCTGAAGAATTTAAGACCTACGACAACTTTGTTTCGTTAGTTGCAAAATGTGTATGGCAGATAAGAGATAAAGATAAAAGAGGTAAAGTATGGAACGAACAGATAAAACCAGCAACTTTTGAGTTAAAGAAAACCATTGACGCCTTAGTTGTTCTAGCAGGTTTTATTTCAATGTACAATGCTAAAATGAACCCACAATGTTCAAAATGTAAAGCAGCAATGAGGAAATATAACTACTCCGTCAAAGAGATAGAACGCATGAGAAACGACTATGCTGACTTAAAGAAAGAAGCAGAGAAACCAGCAGAAGATAAAATGGACATGTTGACATTTCTGAACAAAAACTATCCAACTGCTGACGATTTCCTTCTATCTGACGTCAAGAAGAAATATAAAGAAACCTTCGGCATAGTTAAAACTTTTGATATCCTTCGTGAAGAAATAGAAGCTACAAAACTGTTTAAAGTCATGAACCATCGCAACATATACCATGTAAAACGCTTGTAAATAGTTATGTTAGAAAAGAGGTTAGAAAACGTGTTAGATCTAACATGCTAACATAAAATATATTTTTGCCGAGTAAAATGACCAAATTTCATTATATAACTGTTATGAGTGACGAAGAGAACTTTGACACTTCGTCAAAAAAATCCCTGAAATCATATCTTTTATACAAAATTCAAGAGGTGAGAAAAGAGGTTAGAAAACGTGTTAGATCTAACATGCTAACATAAAATATATTTTTGTCTGATTTACGCTCATTGACGATGAAGTTTTGACAAAACATATACGAAGAAGTTTATTTCCTGGACTGTTGTCAAAATGTCATGTTGTCACTATTTTCAAAAAGATGTTAGTTGACCGAGTGACCGAGGGACCGAGGGACCTGGTTAGATCTAAAATATATTTTTGCTGAAAAAAATGACCAAATTTCATGATATAACTGTTATTTTTGACGAAGTGAACTTTTACTCTTCGTAAAAAAAATCCCTGAAATCGTGAAAAAAATGACCAAATTTCATGATATAACTGTATTTTTTTGACGAAGAGAACTTTGACACTTCGTAAAAAAATCCCTGAAATCGTGAAAAAATGACCAAATTTCATGATATAACTGTATTTTTTTGACGAAGAGAACTTTGACACTTCGTAAAAAAAATCTCTGAAATCATATCTTTTATACAAGATAAAAAAATAGCGTTAGTTTTTATAAAATATTTTTTTTTATTTTGTATGTAAAGACAGATATGACAACAACAGAGAACACAACAACTGCTATCGTTCATGAAGCCATAAATGAAGAATATGAGTACATACAGTTTAACAAACAGTTACGTCTCATTCGTTCGGTCAAAGATGACATGTACCAAATGCAAAGTATTTTGACAGCATGTTTTGCTCCAGATACTAAGAAACCACAAGACTGGTTTGAATTAAATAGCACTCATGAACTCCTCAGTGAGTTTGAACATGTAGAACTTAAAAAGATGTACCAAGACAGACAAAACTTACCATCGCATCTAAAAGGTATATATGTTCATAAGTTCCTAGTTAGTTCAATAGCAATGTGGGCTTCACCTCGCTATTCATGGTATGTTTGTAAACTTCTTGACGAACTTTGTACAAAGCAGAGAGAAGATATGATGAAAGAAGACAAAAACATACAGAAAAGAATACCACGTTCGGTACCAAAAGGAAAGGAAAGAACTATAAGTATATGATTTACACTGAAGAGATGGAAAATGAAGAAGACAGAGATATGGTTATGTTGCATTTAGTCAGAAGAAACAACAAAAGCTTTTACGACTTAGCTAAGATTTACAAATCTGACAGAAATTGGTTCTATCGCGAAAACTTACCGATTTCAATGACACCGAATGAAGATGTTAAACAGATAGTTCAAGATACGTTACCTCAAACACACTATGATATGAAAGGTTGTACAATACTTACATTCAAAGAAGATTTACCGCTACTGAAAGAAAAAATAACAGAGTATTTTGACAACTTCAAAGAGGAAGAGTAAATGAACCATATATTTTTCAAGCTTGACACCAAAGATGGCTCAGGTAGCTCTAGATGGTAAATTGTCTTGTCCGAGTCCTTCTGGCATTCCGAGTCCTTCCATCCGACAGGAAAAGTTTTTCCTTCCAACTGGAAAAAAATTTCCTTCCAACAGGAAAAGTTTTTCCTTCCAACAGGAAAAAATTTTCCTTCCAACAGGAAAAAATTTTCCTTCCAACAGGAAAAAATTTTCCTTCCAACAGGAAAAAATTTTCCTTCCGACAGGAAAAATTTTTCCAGTTGTCCGTCCGTAAACCATTCAAATTTTCGAAAATTGAGAACTTTTTGGCCGACCTTCAGGAAAAATTTTTCTTTCCGACAGGAAAAATTTTTCTTTCCGACAGGAAAAATTTTTCTTTCCGACAGGAAAAGTTTTTCTTTCCGACAGGAAAAATTTTTCTTTCCGACAGGAAAAGTTTTTCTTTCCGACAGGAAAAGTCCTTCCATCCGACAGGAAAAGTCCTTCCATCCGACAGGAAAAGTCCTTCCATCCGACAGGACACAAACGAATGTCCGACGTACCACCAACCGAGTCCATTCCAAAGCCAGAAGAACCGACAGCCCCAGCACCACAACAGACTAAGACTCAAACACTTACATTTTTACGCTTGACTTTTTACAATTTGAACTTTGTTTGCGTAGATGTGAATTCTGAAAGAAGTATGAGGGTCTTGTATGACTTTGTACTTCTCCCATAGTTTGTCTGTCAAACTTACCTGCCATGGACTCTTTCATAAGTTCCATGAAATCGTCTTCGGACAATCCGGGGAAAAGTATGATATCAGTAAGTATTCTCTTTACATCCTTACTTAAACTCTTGGCTGTCTGTACACAAATGACAACTGAGATGTTAAAGTGTCTGAGCTTCTTAAGAATTCGACACATGTCTTGTTCTCTGTTCTTTAACAAAGGATGAGAAGCAAAGTCATCTAAGATAAGAAGACACCTATGAGGGTAAGTCTTCCAATCGTAAGATTGCAATTTCTTCGAAATGTATTCTATCTCTTTCTGTTTGTTTCTGAAGTGTTTCTTCTCTAATATTCTCTGCATTTCCTCATTTGGGTCTTTAAACTTAGAATTGACATACTCATTTATAGCATTGTACTTCAAAACTCTTCTTTGGTACTTCTTTATCCAATCTAACAACTCAGAGTCTTTTATACATACTAACTTAGACTTTTTTATAATATCTTTGAACGAATTGACGGTTTGGTCAAATTGACCAGAAGTACTACAAATGACTACTAACTCATAGAATGGGTTCTTCTCATCTAGTTCTTGTTGTTGTGCAGCCATTTTAAGATAAGTGAAAGTCTTACCCGACCCAGGTGGTGCGATTAGACCTGTTATACCATTCTGAGCAAATAAGAACTTGTCATGTATGGGTTTTATCTGAGCATTTTCCAACTTCCTCTTGTTCTTATTTAAAACATTCTCAAATTTTTTGTCAATGTCAGCAAACTTTTTTTCTAACATATTTTTAGAAAAATTAAAAATTTTATCTTTTAGGAAATGTCTAGCGATTTCGCTATCTATATTCGAGACAAGCTTTTCGACAGCAAAACATCTGTCGACCATAAAATCTTACATAGTGTAAACAAGAAAGGTGAATTTGTTCTAAAGTTCTGTTTCTGGGAATATGACAAGAACCATAAAACCTTAAGCAGAGATGTCTTAAAATTTGTCAATGACAGACTTGTTGACAGAGATGACGCCTCTTGGAGAGATGAAGTCCAACAAAACTTCTTAGAATGCAAAGAAGACACATGCGCTGTTCTTGAAAATGAAATAGAAAACAGAATAGAAGAGCTATTAAAGGACAAAGACCTTTTACAAAAATATGGTTCTGAGAAGTTTGATATAACTCCACCAGAGAAGAAGAAGAGAGAAAGGAAAGAAAAGAAAGTAGAAGAAGAGAAGAAAGAACCAGAGCCAGAGAAGGGGAGATATGACATGTAAAAATAAAATTTTATTTTTAGAACATTTCTGGGTCAATGTCAATGTTCTCTTCCTCTTTAGGAGCAAACACCGGCTTAGACTCTAAAATCTTTTTACCCAATTTACCTTGAACTTCAACTATCTTAGACTCATAATATTCATAGTCGTCTGCTTTCTTTGGTTCATAAGGTATAACAAGTTTGTATGCTTTGCCTTCTTTAAGGTTTGAAAACCTTCTGTCAAAACTTTCTTTGACTGTTAACAAACCTTCTATGTCTAAGTCTTCAAATTTCGCACCATTTTTAGTCACAATAGCAAACTTAACTGGTTCGATGTTCCAAACTTTGTCAAATGAAGACTTTTCAAAATGGTAGAAGTAAACATTCAAATATGTGAATGGGTCTAGTTCTTCTTTAAGTCCTGACATGTACTTGTTTACTGAGATGAATTTCGTCATCTTTTCTATCGGATAAAAAAAATATTTTTTTTAAAATTTACTCAGAAAAATTTTTCTTTGTATATACACCATTCTGAACATCTAAAAGACTTTTGACATTTGCCAAGAATGTTCGTTTAGACGCTGTCATATAACCATACTCTTGACAATATTGTTTATACGAATCGTACAATGACCTTTCATCTAAACACTCAAAGTCAGTTTCATCTATGAACAGTTCATATACACTCTTGTTTGCTTCTAACAATGTTTGTCTCTCTTCGGTATGTGGAATTTGTCTTGGATTGAACTTTGAAATATCTAATGTCATGAAATATGAGAACAAGTGGTTGTAAAAGTCAGATGTCAAAGTTTCTGCTAACTCGTCAAAATATTCTGTATCTTGCATATGAGCTTCTGACGTTCTGACAACTACATATCTTCTGTCAGAACTTTCTAACTTCATCGGAACGGCGTTGTTTGAAACCATGATGAAGTTTGCAACATTTTCACAAACTCTTTGGTCTTTATATTTTCTTTCAACAACTCCAACTTTGTCTGTTATAAGACTCTTCAAAGCATCTGAGTTCAAAACTTTTGTTGTATCTATACTTTGAAGTTCGTTACATACTATAAGTTTCATATTCTCTATTGAAGAGTTAAATTTACCGCAGATGTTTTCTAAGTTTGTCATATTCGGGTTCGAATAGCCCTCTAACAGTTTGCATAAGATATCTGTAAAGAAAGTGTTCTTACCTGTTCCTTGTTTTCCAATTACAATGAGAGCAGTTTCATTTTTAGCACTTGGATGTTGTAAGATGTTTGCAAACCAACATAAGATATACTCATAGACTCTTTCGTTTCCATTGCATATAATTTCTTTGACATGGTCTAACCAAGCTTCTATAACATTTTCTTTCCATTCTACTTGTTCGTATTTATATCCAGTGAAGATAGAATAGAAGTTTGGAGAAGGTGTATAGAACTTTATACCACGAACTGAAAAATCTTCTAACTTTGACAATAAAATATCCCAAGCATCTAACATCTTCATACCAACTTGTACGACTTTTATTTTCTTAAGTTTCTGTCTACATTCTTGTTCAGACACTATTGTTGCTCTTGGTTTGTTAAAGACTACATCCCATTCTTTCATGACATAACATTCTGGGGCAGAGTCAACATAAATGACTAAACGTTTCAAATTCTCGACTGCTTTGTTATAGTCTCGAAATGGACACATATTTCTGAACGCTTGGAAGTCATAAAAATCTGAAACGTCTATTCTGTACATTTTTTTATAAAAATAAAAAAAATATTTTTTTTATTCTTGACTTTGTTGTTGCATTTGTTCCATTTGTTGCATTTGTTGTTCTTGAGCTATTTGTTGTTGAAGTTGTTCTTGTAGTACAATACTTTCACCAGTTGCATCTTCCAATTCGAAACTTTCTGCCGTCATTGACAAATACATAGGACATAAAAGTTTTACAGGAACAAAGTTTGCGTCAACTAAGGTTAAGTTTATGTTTGCTAAAGTGTTTGAGTTCACTAAAGCTGTAAACTCTGCATTCGAATGAACAATAGGCAAACCAGCAGAGAAAGTGTTGTTTATACGCATGAGTATCTTTTGGTCATAGTAGTTTCTGTCGACATTCGAATAGCACTTTGAACCTAAGTTTGAAACAATATATAAAATAGGTGTACTTAAAGTCAATGGAACAGACATTCCTTGTATGACACCTTTTCCTGTTATAGGAAACTGTTGGTAGTAAAAACCAGAAATAAGTTTTGTATTATAGCTCATATCGTTTATACTAAACTCAGTCGGACATCCAAACATAATGAAACCTGCTCTAGTTGCAGCACATGTTACATCCGTCCTTAAAGTATTAAATAAGTCAACAAAACCTGTTGGTGGTATATCTGAGTAAGTATCTTCAAAGGAGTATTTTTTACCATTCACAACAACAAAGTCTTCTGGTGTCAAAAGAGCAAAACAGGCTTTAGTCGTCATCGTGTTTAAGGTCAGTTTACAATATCGTCCTTGAGGACTTTGTAAGTTTGTTGTTATAGAATTATATGACTCAGGGTTTTTAGTCGTAATAGTATAAACCACTATGTCTTCTGCCATTTACTTAGCAAGTAAATTTTAATGAAATGTTGTGGTCGTCAAATATTTTTATGACGTCTGGGAAACTATATTTTAAGTTCAACGTTTCACCTCCTTTCATAACGTATATCTTGTCAATGACATTATATGAAACACCACAGCAAGCAATGTCAGGTTCTATTTCTTTGATGTTTATATCGTCTGCCTCTGTCAAAAGTTTCAATAGTTCTTTCAAAATTTCATGAGGTGCGATGACATATGAGTTCACTTTTACAGGGTTGTGCTCAACCAAGTTTAACATTAGACCTAAAGCTTGACAAATCTTCTCCTGAGTTTTAAGTTTGTCTTTAAGTTGTTGGTAGTCGTTTCGAATATCTGCAACAGAACTTAAGTCTCTGCTAACTTCAGGGTATGTTGGTTGTTCTTTTACAGGAACTATTGTTATACCATCTTCGTCTTCGTATGGTTTCCCCACTTCAACATCTCTGTCTTTGACATTGACAACAACACTTTGACTGTTTGTTTGAGTTGGTGAATTTAACTTCACATCTGCCACCGCCATTAAACCTTTTGAAACACTTACGCTTCTATTTTTCGGAAATGACATTTTACTTAGAATAAAAAGATGGACGTATTTGAGTATCTCTTCGAATTGAAGCAGAGCAAAGTTTACACACACAAACAATACAAATACACTGATAGAATAGTTCTTTATACAAACAATGGAAAATGTTATAGAATAGCAATATTTGCTGAACCAAAATATTTTCATAAAGCAAAGAAAGTTGGTATAACTGAAATGGTGAAAGTTCTTGACGTTGACAAAAATATAACAACAAAACTGACCGATATTTCTAAAGGTAAGTTTATAATACAATACTATGTCAAAACTGGCGTACTGTCAATATTTGACGGAGAGAAGTCAGTTCAAGAACAACTTACTGACCTGCTGCCAAAATCTGCTCGATGGAAGCTGTCGTTATACCAATCTGAGGAGCCCCAGCAGGTTTCATCGAACGAATCTTCAAAAGAGCATCTTCCGTGAAAAGTGCTATTGGTTTTGTAAACTTCTTTGCTTTCAATTCATCTGGACCGTCTCTGTCACCAGTATATTGTATTTGAACTGTACCAACAGTTGAAATACCACCCATAAAGTCTTCTGAGTCAGCAAATGGAATGCCAAGCCAAAAGTTTGAACGGTCTCCATTTGTATATTGAGTTTTTTGAGCTCCTGCATGAGTCCATACTTTCACATATGGCATAATAGAACTTTGCATTTCAGGGTTAATGGTTGTTGTGAAGTTGTTGTTAAAGTTCATAGCATCTAATGTCAAGTTGTATGACCTCATATCCTCAACTGTAGAATATTCTTCTCTTGGATAGTATTTGCCATCTATGTTTATATGATATTTAATACCGGGGTTGTAGAAACAAGAATAGTCATTTATAGTTCGTCTGAACAGTACAAACATAGTATCTGCATGTTTCATTGCAGTTGTTAAGGCAATATCTGTTCTTGCACCTGGGTCAGCACTTTGGTTTCCAACTTCACCTGCAAAGTCTTTGACAGATATTTGGTGTATAGGGAACATAAGTGGAACTGCAATATATTTGGCAGCTAAAGCATTTGAAATATCTGGGTCCAACATATAGACTGCAAGTCTGCTTTCTATTCTCTTGCATTCAAATTTTTCGCATGTGAACTTAACTGGGTCCCAAGCAGTTCCAGCAGCATTGAAGTAGTAGTTTACTTCAGTGTTGAGGTTTGAGAAACCAAAGTCTAAGTCAACTTTGTCTTTGCAAAATTCGGCGAATGACGTTTGATTTGCTCCCTTTACGTCTGTAAGAGTGAATGGGTCTTGTGTTGGTGCAATGACTAAGTTATTTTTGCTTGGAGTAAGTTCGATAGAAATTTTTCCTGCCCAGTTTGGCAAGTATCTTAAAAACCCGAAGATGAGGAAAGATGACAAAGGAACTCTAAGTTTCAATTTTACTTTGGTTACTGCTGCTGCAGTTTGTCCAGAAAGGTTAACATAAACTCCTGGAACGTTAGGGTCAAGTCTTCTTATTTTCTCAATAGTTGCATACTGGTCTGTTTGTTCTCTAGCTTGTGGTTGTACTGAGTTTCTCAAAGCGAACCATTCATAGTTTGCCCATGTTACTGTTTGAACTAAGTCAGAGTTAGAATATATCTTATATCCCATAAAAACTTCTGGAGTATATTGGTATCCGACATAGAAAATTCCATTGCAACCTTTCTTGTCAGACAACTTGGCAGAAGGTTTTATTTCAATGTCTTGTTCCACGTATAAGAAAGAGTTGTCAATAGAAATAATATGAAACCTGTCGCAAGCAATATCTACTGTTGTTGAAGAACCTTCTCCAAACTCACCTACGTTTCCATAAGAAACAGCAGTTGTATATTCGTAAGTTCCAGGAACTATTTCTGACCTTCTAATGGCATTGTCGCATTCGTTATACCATTCGGAAACATTTCCATTCATAGCATCCAAAACTGTTGGCGTTATATTCTGAGCGGCGTACATTTCATATGGGTAAAAATATAGAATAGTTGGATTTATATGTCATAATAGAACCCACGTGGACCAAGCTTTACTTTCTTCCTGACTGAGTTTTTAACTCTTCTTTTTCCTTCATTGCCACTACTTTCACTAGATGAAGTTAGTTCTTCACTACTTTCACTTTGTTCTACTCTTCTTCTTTGGTGTCGCTTTGGTAACTTGCCCTCTGCTTCAAGTTGTTGCATCTTTGCCTCATGTTCACCTAGTATGTTGTAAATTTCCCATGTCCTTTTTGCCTTTGGGCTCTGGTCGCCCATCTCAGGTAACCTATATCCTAGAAAGAGTTTGTCATAGTTTGTATTTGAGTCTTTGCGTATTGTTTGCATGACTCTTTCCTGAGTTTCCGGTTCAAGCTCTTCAAACAGTGCCTGTCCATATGGAATAAGCTCGTTTCCAAATATATGTTTTTGTAGCCATTCTGGTTTTCTTTCCATGTTACCAACTATATCCTTTGTGAATGGGAAAGCTTTTACCCAATCTTTCAGTCTTGCGTCATTTATTTCTGTAGTTGGTTTTATTTTGTCAAGGAACATGTTTTTCAATACTAACATTTCATTTGGTACTGTCCATTTGAGTTTTCTTAAATATTCATCCCTTCTCAGTTCATTGTCTGCAAAGTAAGTTTTTATGACATTTTGCAAACTTTCATTTGCAAGGTCATGTACAATAGGTTCTCTTCCTTCTCCCTCCCTAACTTTCTTTCTAAACTCTTCACCAAATATACCATCTCTATGGTTCTGTGTAGTTCTTTGAGATAAATGTTCTAGAACGTCAGGTGTTATATTTCCATCAGCCATGTTCATTTCATACTGGTCCAAAATATCTGCATGTTTCATATCTTTCAATGGCATTAAAGCCGCGCTTAAAATACCAGCTATATCTCGTTCACCATTGACTTCCATTGCGTCTACAACTTCTTGGAATTGTGGTTGTAAGTTTATGAACCACCTATCCGGGTTAGCTTTATGACCCCATCTCATTGTAGTTCCATAGTCTGCAGAAACAAAAGTAGGTTTGTTTCCATCTTGGTTAGGTTCTGAATGAACTTTAAACAATGTTTCATTTCTATATGTTTTGTTGAAATTTAACCTTTTATTTTCACCGAGTTCATCCGAAGATTGAACGTTAAATGCTCGTAAGTAAAAAGGGTTGTTGTATTTGTGTACATTTTCTTTCAGTACTTCCATTCTATGCTGAATATTTTCATCTGGTGTTGGAGTCTTTTGTATGTCGGCAAACATTTTTCGATATTCTTCTACTATGTCAGCCGAATTTTTTTTAGACTCTTGGAAATATTCCATATTCACCTCATACACTTGTTGAGGGTCAAGATTTTTCGGCTGTTCCAAATCTTCATCTAGTTCTGTGAAGTTAGTTTCCAAAGGAGTGACTTGTTCGTTTCCTTCAGGCTCTTCTAGCTGTTGTTGCTGAACTATTTCTTCCATGTCTGGTTGTATCTGAACTAGTTCTTCCTGTGGAGTTTCTTGTACCTCATCTGCTGGCATTTCATATATTCCGAGACCGTTTTCAACAATTTCCCTATCTAAGTCATCCGGACTCATAAACCTTTCTTCTTTCGTTCCGTCTCTATTTTTTACGCGTTTCATGACGGGAGTTGAATTGTCATTTAGCTCTGACATCAAATATCTCGGAGTAAATTCGTTCATGTCATTTGGATGATATGCTATTAAATCATATCCCTTAGCGAGCTTGTATTTTCCAGGTTTGAATTTATATCCGTTTTGGTGCTGAGCCATAAAGCTAAATAGGTCCGGGTCAGTATTTCCATCCTTGAACTTTCTAATAGCTTCTTTATATCTGTCACTAAAGTCAATACTATCTGGGTAACCATACTCTTCCTTAAGCATTTTTAAGAATTCTTGGTTTCCTTGTTCTCTACTTCTTTTATGTCCTTGCTCTGGTTGTGGAGGTGGTTGTTGTGCAGGGTTTTGAACTGTTGGTTGTTGTGCAGGGTTTTGAACTGTTGGTTGTGGAGGTGGTTGTTGTGCAGGGTTTTGAACTGTTGGTTGTTGTGCAGGGTTTTGAACTGTTGGTTGCTGTGTTGGTTTTGGTGCATGCCTGTGTCTGTGTCCATGTGACGATGTAAATGTTTTAGGTAGTCCTGGTGCAGGTGCTTCTCTTGGAGGGTTTGGTGGTATATAAGTTCCACTAGCTAGTATATAAGTTCCACCAGCTGGTATATAAGTTCCACCAGCTGGCACATATGTTCCATCTGCAGCGTAATGTCCTACCTGACTTTTCGTTCTTAAGAAAGCATTTACTAGGTCTGTTTTGGTCTGTTGTAACTCTTTTTCTTGACTTTCTACAACAGTTGCTCTAACGGCGTCATAGGCACTTTGAACTGCCTGTCTCGTTGCTGCATCTGTTATTTTCGTCATATTTTTGTGCTACTTCTTTTAACTCTTTGTCGAAACCTTCAGACTTCAGTTTCTTTCCAGATGAGAAGTCGTTCACTTGTTTCACCTTACTATGAAGAGCTTCGAAGGCGTTCTTAAAGTCAGCATTCGTTAAAGCTTCATTTGAACTGTCTTCATCCGCTTGTATTTTTGTCCTTATTGACCCTATAAGCTGGGCTGCTTTAGCGTTGGCTTGGGCATCTAACCAGTCATTGTTAGCTTTTATATATTCTGCGCTTTTCATTGCCTTTTGCATGGCTGCGTCGTTATTTTTACTTTCTTGTGCTAAGTTTTCATACTGTACGGTTTGGTTTTGCAACTGTAAAAGTTTTTCTGCCTTTACATTTGCTTCAACTTCTTTTTTATACTCATCGCTATCCATATATGTCTTCAGGGCTTTTTGTTTTATCTCTTCATCTTTCAGTACTTTATATTGAGTAGTATGGTTTTTCAAATTTATGACATCTTGTTCCATTTTTGCTACTTCTGCTGCTTTTTCTGACACTTTTTTCGCATATTCCTCTGTACTTAGTTCTTTCAGTTGTTCTTCTTTCTTCTTTTTCTCTACGTTTAACTCATTGAGTTTCTTTGTGTGTCTGTCATATTCTAGTTTCTTTTCGTTTTCACTTATTTGTTTCTGTATGTCTATGTTTGACTTTTTGACATCTGATATTTGATTTTTGAGTGAACTCAAATTCATTTGACTTTGAGGGTTATAGGCTGTTCCGTCTGCAGCTCCACGATAGCCTGCCATTTTCGCTAAAAGTGCCGCTCTTAAACCTCCACTCTGTGCACCAATGACTCGGTTTAAAAGCATAGGATTGCTTGACATTTGTTGCAACATAGTGGGGTCATTCAGCATTTGTTGTTGCAACTGTTGTTGTGGTGTCAGTTTTACTATTGGATGTTTCAATGCTCTCTTCCTCTTACGTATATTCTTACGTAGCTTACGTGGCATTTTAAGTGAAGTTAAAAAGCGGTTTTATACTAAACATCTTCGGGGCTAGAGGGCACGAAGTGCCTGGAAGCCCCAATACCTTTTTTTTTACATCTATAAGAATGAAGTGTTTTGAAGCTGAAATAATATTGAATAGAAATTAATTTTTTCTGAAATTTTGAATGAAATTATGGGAAATAAAAAAATTACTAAATATTGTATTCATACAAATATATTATTTTTGTTGTAAACAGAAATTCATCAAAAGTGACACCTCAGAAAAGCTAAAATATTGAATTTTTGGAACTTTTGATAGAGCACGTTTTAAAATATTAATTAAAGTAAATGTATATTTTGTAAAGATTCTTTTTAATCAAAAAATAAAATTTTGAAGAAGAACACAAAATCTTCTGAAAAATAATATCACATAAACTCATATTATTTTCTAATATATAACTATTTTATATAAAAATCAAATTCAATGATCTTAAAAGCGAAGGATAAACCTCAAAATTTACGAATATAATGAGTGGGAATATAATGCTTATCTATCATAAAACCATATGAAATATCAATTTTTGCTTTACGCCTAATTTTGACGACAATTAGCAAAAAATGTTAAATGTTAACACTCAGTCCATTTGAATATGAAAAATAAAATTGACTTTGATTAAATGTTTTATTTATCATGCAATTCTTCTTGCGACCAAAGATTTGACTAAAACTTCAAAAAATAAGATAGCTTAAAAAATAATATACGGTAGTGTTTACTAATAGATGAATAGTATATAAATTCTATTAAAATGGATTTGATCCAAAAAAATATAAAACCAAAAATAATTGTTATAATTTAAATGAAGAAGTAATTTAAAACGATTTTTTTATGATCAAATTTTATATATTTTTTTGGATCAAATCCATTTTAATAGAATTTATATACTATTCATCTATTAGTAAACACTACCGTATATTATTTTTTAAGCTATCTTATTTTTTGAAGTTTTAGTCAAATCTTTGGTCGCAAGAAGAATTGCATGATAAATAAAACATTTAATCAAAGTCAATTTTATTTTTCATATTCAAATGGACTGAGTGTTAACATTTAACATTTTTTGCTAATTGTCGTCAAAAATTAGGCGTAAAGCAAAAATTGATATTTCATATGGTTTTATGATAGATAAGCATTATATTCCCACTCATTATATTCGTAAATTTTGAGGTTTATCCTTCGCTTTTAAGATCATTGAATTTGATTTTTATATAAAATAGTTATATATTAGAAAATAATATGAGTTTATGTGATATTATTTTTCAGAAGATTTCATTCTATATGTCTATGAAAAGTACTCTCAAAACTAACTTTTTCCTAATTATAATTAAATCTAGAATATTGTATTATGCTTAGTATTATTTCATTTTTCTCATTCAATTTAGAATTTACAAATGTCAAAAAATTGAGAGATGTCACTTTTGATGAATTTCTGTTTATTACATTTTAAAGGAAAAATAGATGCTGATAGAAACGATGAAAATTTTTGAAAACTTTACAATTAATTTATGTTCGTTAACCACAGAGCTTGCAATCCAAAGCTCACGTTAGACAACAAGAGTCATGAAGTCTCATACTAAGGGATATCCAACATATATTTTAATAATCTAATGTTTGTGACAAATATTCAACATAAAATTAAGTTTTCGTTTCGTTACAAGGCATTCATACTTTGGAGATATCATGCTAAGTCAAATGAATTTGAGTTCACTCAAAAATCAAATATCAGATGTCAAAAAGTCAAACATAGACATACAGAAACAAATAAGTGAAAACGAAAAGAAACTAGAATATGACAGACACACAAAGAAACTCAATGAGTTAAACGTAGAGAAAAAGAAGAAAGAAGAACAACTGAAAGAACTAAGTACAGAGGAATATGCGAAAAAAGTGTCAGAAAAAGCAGCAGAAGTAGCAAAAATGGAACAAGATGTCATAAATTTGAAAAACCATACTACTCAATATAAAGTACTGAAAGATGAAGAGATAAAACAAAAAGCCCTGAAGACATATATGGATAGCGATGAGTATAAAAAAGAAGTTGAAGCAAATGTAAAGGCAGAAAAACTTTTACAGTTGCAAAACCAAACCGTACAGTATGAAAACTTAGCACAAGAAAGTAAAAATAACGACGCAGCCATGCAAAAGGCAATGAAAAGCGCAGAATATATAAAAGCTAACAATGACTGGTTAGATGCCCAAGCCAACGCTAAAGCAGCCCAGCTTATAGGGTCAATAAGGACAAAAATACAAGCGGATGAAGACAGTTCAAATGAAGCTTTAACGAATGCTGACTTTAAGAACGCCTTCGAAGCTCTTCATAGTAAGGTGAAACAAGTGAACGACTTCTCATCTGGAAAGAAACTGAAGTCTGAAGGTTTCGACAAAGAGTTAAAAGAAGTAGCACAAAATATGACGAAAATAACAGATGCAGCAACGAGACAGGCAGTTCAAAGTGCCTATGACGCCGTTAGAGCAACTGTTGTAGAAAGTCAAGAAAAAGAGTTACAACAGACCAAAACAGACCTAGTAAATGCTTTCTTAAGAACGAAAAGTCAGGTAGGACATTACGCTGCAGATGGAACATATGTGCAGCTGGTGGAACTTATATACCAGCTGGTGGAACTTATATACTAGCTAGTGGAACTTATATACCACCAAACCCTCCAAGAGAAGCACCTGCACCAGGACTACCTAAAACATTTACATCGTCACATGGACACAGACACAGGCATGCACCAAAACCAACACAACAACCAACACAACAACCAACACAACAACCAACACAACAACCAACACAACAACCAACACAACAACCAACACAACAACCAACAGTTCAAAACCCTGCACAACAACCACCTCCACAACCAGCACAACAACAACCACAAACAGAGCAAGGACATAAAAGAAGTAGAGAAAAAGGAAACCAAGAATTCTTAAAAATGCTTAAGGAAGAGTATGGTTACCCAGATACTCTTGACTTTAGTAACAGATATAAAGAAGCTATTAGAAAGTTCAAGGATGGAAATACTGACCCGAACCTATTTAGCTTTATGGTTCAGCACCAAATCAGATATAATCTCAAACCTGGAAAATACAAGCTCGCTAAGGGATATGATTTAATAGCATATCATCCAAATGACATGGATGAATTTACTCCGAGATATTTGGTGTCAGAGATAAATGATAATTCAACTATCTTCATGAAACGCGTAAAAAATAGAGACGGAACGAAAGAAGAAAGGGTTATGAATGCGAATGACTTAAATAGGGAACTTGTTAAAAACGGTCTCGGAATATATGAAATGCCAGCAGATGAGGTACAAGAAACTCCACAGGAAGAAGTTCAGATACAACCAGACATGGAAGAAATAGTTCAGCAACAACAGCTAGAAGAGCCTGAAGGAAACGAACAAGTCACTCCTTTGGAAACTAACTTCACAGAACTAGATGAAGATTTGGAACAGCCGAAAAATCTTGACCCTCAACAAGTGTATGAGGTGAATATGGAATATTTCCAAGAGTCTAAAAAAAATTCGGCTGACATAGTAGAAGAATATCGAAAAATGTTTGCCGACATACAAAAGACTCCAACACCAGATGAAAATATTCAGCATAGAATGGAAGTACTGAAAGAAAATGTACACAAATACAACAACCCTTTTTACTTACGAGCATTTAACGTTCAATCTTCGGATGAAACTCGGTGAAAATAAAAGGTTAAATTTCAACAAAACATATAGAAATGAAACATTGTTTAAAGTTCATTCAGAACCTAACCAAGATGGAAACAAACCTACTTTTGTTTCTGCAGACTATGGAACTACAATGAGATGGGGTCATAAAGCTAACCCGGATAGGTGGTTCATAAACTTACAACCACAATTCCAAGAAGTTGTAGACGCAATGGAAGTCAATGTGTGAACGAGATATAGCTGGTATTTTAAGCGCGGCTTTAATGCCATTGAAAGATATGAAACATGCAAGATATTTTGGACCAGTATGAAATGAACATGGCTGATGGAAATATAACACCTGACGTTCTAGAACATTTATCTCAAAGAACTACACAGAACCATAGAGATGGTATATTTGGTGAAGAGTTTAGAAAGAAAGTTAGGGAGGGAGAAGGAAGAGAACCTATTGTACATGACCTTGCAAACGAAAGTTTACAAAATGTCATAAAAACTTACTTTTGCAGACAATGAACCGAGAAGGGATGAATATTTAAGAAAACTCAAATGGACAGTACCAAATGAAATGTTAGTATTGAAAAACATGTTCCTTGACAAAATAAAACCAACTACAGAAATAAATGACGCAAGACTGAAACATTGGGTAAAAGCTTTCCCATTCACAAAAGATATTGTTGGTAACATGGAAAGAAAACCAGAATGGCTACAAAAACATATATTTGGAAACGAGCTTATTCCATATGGACAAGCTCTGTTTGAAGAGCTTGAACCGGAAACTCAGAAAAGAGTCATGCAAACAATAAGCGAAGACTCAAATACAAACTATGACAAACTCTTTCTAGGATATAGGTTACCTGAGATGGGCGACCAGAGCCCAAAGGCAAAAAGGACATGGGAAATTTACAACATACTAGGTGAACATGAGGCAAAGATGCAACAACTTGAAGCAGAGGGCAAGTTACCAAAAGCGACACCAAAGAAGAAGAGAAGAGTAGAACAAAGTGAAGTAGTGAAGAAGTAACTTCATCTAGTGAAAGTAGTGGCAATGAAAGAAAAAGAAGAGTTAAAAACTCAGTCAGGAAGAAAGTAAAGCTTGGTCCACGTGGGTTCTATTATGACACATAAATCCAACTATTCTATATTTTACCCATATGAAATGTACGCCGCTCAGAATATAAACGCCAACAGTTTTGGATGCCATGAATGGAATGTTTCCGAATGGTATAACGAATGCGACAATGCCATTAGAAGGTCAGAAATAGTTCCTGGAACTTACGAATATACAACTGCTGTTTCTTATGGAAACGTAGGTGAGTTTGGAGAAGGTTCTTCAACAACAGTAGATATTGCTTGCGACAGGTTTCATATTATTTCTATTGACAACTCTTTCTTATACGTGGAACAAGACATTGAAATAAACCTTCTGCCAAGTTGTCTGACAAGAAAGGTTGCAATGGAATTTTCTATGTCGGATACCAATATACTCCAGAAGTTTTTATGGGATATAAGATATATTCTAACTCTGACTTAGTTCAAACAGTAACATGGGCCAAACTATGAATGGTTCGCTTTGAGAAACTCAGTACAACCACAAGCTAGAGAAAAACAGACCAGTATGCAACTATTGAGAAAATAAGAAGACTTGACCCTAACGTTCCAGGAGTTTATGTTAACCTTTCTGGACAAACTGCAGCAGCAGTAACCAAAGTAAAACTGAAACTTAGAGTTCCTTTGTCATCTTTCCTCATCTTCAGGTTTTAAGATACTTGCCAAACTGGGCAGGAAAAATTTCTATCGAACTTACTCCAAGCAAAAATAACTTAGTCATTGCACCAACACAAGACCCATTCACTATTACAGATACAGCTGGTGGAGCCAAGTTCTGTGACTTTTGCAAAGACAAAGTTGACTTAGACTTTGGTTTCTCAAACCTCAACACTGAAGTAAACTACTACTTCAATGCTGCTGGAACTGCTTGGGACCCAGTTAAGTTCACATGCGAAAAATTTGAATGCAAGAGAATAGAAAGCAGACTTGCAGTCTATATGTTGGACCCAGATATTTCAAATGCTTTAGCTGCCAAATATATTGCAGTTCCACTTATGTTCCCTATACACCAAATCTGTCAAAGACTTTGCAGGTGAAGTTGGAAACCAAAGTGCTGACCCAGGTGCAAGACAGATATTGCTTTAACAACTGCAATGAAACATGCAGATACTATGTTTGTACTGTTCAGACGAACTATAAATGACTATTCTTGTTTCTACAACCCTGGTATTAAATATTCATATAAACATAGATGGCAAATATTATCCAAGAGAAGAATATTCTACAGTTGAGGATATGAGGTCATACAACTTGACATTAGATGCTATGAACTTTAAAACAACAACTTCACAACAACCATTAACCTGAAATGCAAAGTTCTATTATGCCATATGTGAAAGTATGGACTCATACAGGAGGTCAAAAACTCAATATACAAAGAGACCGTTCAAACTTTTGGCTTGGCATTCCATTTTGGCTGACTCAGAAGACTTTATGGGTGGTATTTCAACTGTTGGTACAGTTCAAATACAATATACTGGTGACAGAGACGGTCCAGATGAATTGAAAGCAAAGAAGTTTACAAAACCAATAGCACTTTTCACGGAAGATGCTCTTTTGAAGATCGTTCGATGAAACCTGCTGGGGCTCCTCAGATTGGTATAACGACAGCTTCCATCGAGCAGATTTTGGCAGCAGGTCAGTAAGTTGTTCTTGAACTGACTTCTCTCCGTCAAATATTGACAGTACGCCAGTTTTGACATAGTATTGTATTATAAACTTACCTTTAGAAATATCGGTCAGTTTTGTTGTTATATTTTTGTCAACGTCAAAACTTTCACCATTTCAGTTATACCAACTTCTTTGCTTTATGAAAATATTTTGGTTCAGCAAATATTGCTATTCTATAACATTTTCCATGTTTGTATAAAGAACTATTCTATCAGTGTATTTGTATTGTTTGTGTGTGTAAACTTTGCTCTGCTCAATTCGAAGAGATACTCAAATACGTCCATCTTTTTATTCTAAGTAAAATGTCATTTCCGAAAAATAGAAGCGTAAGTGTTTCAAAAGGTTTAATGGCGGTGGCAGATGTGAAGTTAAATTCACCAACTCAAACAAACAGTCAAAGTGTTGTTGTTCAATGTCAAAGACAGAGATGTTGAAGTGGGGAAACCATACGAAGACGAAGATGGTATAACAATAGTTCCTGTAAAAGAACAACCAACATATCCTGAAGTTAGCAGAGACTTAAGTTCTGTTGCAGATATTCGAAACGACTACCAACAACTTAAAGACAAACTTAAAACTCAGGAGAAGATTTGTCAAGCTTTAGGTATAATGTTAAACTTGGTCGAACACAACCCTGTAAAAGTGAACTCATATGTCATTGCACCTCATGAAGTTTTGAAAGAACTATGAAACTTTTGACAGAGGCAGACGATATAAACATCAAAGAAATAGAGCCCGACATTGCTTGCTGTGGTGTTTCATATAATGTCATTGACAAGATATACGTTATGAAAGGAGGTGAAACGTTGAACTTAAAATATAGTTTCCCAGACGTTAAAAAATATTTGACGACCACAACATTTCATTAAAATTTACTTGCTAAGTAAAATGCAGAAGACATAGTGTGTTTATACTATTACGACTAAAACCCTGAGTCATATAATTCTATAACAACAAACTTACAAAAGTCCTCAAGGACGATATTGTAAACTGACCTTAAACACGATGACGACTAAAGCCTGTTTTGCTCTTTTGACACCAGAAGACTTTGTTGTGAATGGTAAAAATACTCCTTTGAAGATACTTACTCAGATATACCACCAACAGGTTTTGTTGACTTATTTAATACTTTAAGGACGGATGTAACATGTGCTGCAACTAGAGCAGGTTTCATTATGTTGGATGTCCGACTGAGTTTAGTATAAACGATATGAGCTATAATACAAAACTTATATCTGGTTTTTACTACCAACAATTTCCTATAACAGGAAAAGGTGTCATACAAGGTTTGTCTGTTCCATTGACTTTAAGTACACCTATTTTATATATTGTTTCAAACTTAGTTCAAAGTGCTATTCGAATGTCGACAAAACTACTATGACAAAAGATACTCATGCGTATAAACAACACATTCTCTGCTGGTTTGCCTATTGTTCATTCGAATGCAGAGTTTTCAGCTTTAGTGAACTCAAACACTTTAGCAAACATTAAACTTAACCTTAGTTGACGCAAACTTTGTTCCTGTAAAACTTTTATGTCCTATGTATTTGTCAATGACGCAGAAAGTTTCGAATTGGAAGATGCAACTGGTGAAAGTATTGTACTACAAGAACAACTTCAACAACAAATAGCTCAAGAACAACAAATGCAACAAATGGAACAAATGCAACAACAAAGTCAAGAATAAAAAAAATATTTTTTTTTTTTATTAAAAATGTACAGAATAGATGTTTCAGATTTTTATGACTTCCAAGCCTTCAGAAATATGTGTCCATTTAGAGACTATAACAAAGCAGTCGAAAATTTGAAACGTTTAGTCATTTATGTCGACTCTGCCCCAGAAATGTTATGTTATGAAAGAATGGGATGTAGTCTTTAACAAACCTAAAGCGACAATAGTTTCAGAACAAGAATGTAAACAGAAACTTAAGAAAATAAAAGTCGTACAAGTTGGCATGAAGATGTTAGATGCTTGGATATCTTATTGTCAAAACTTGAAGATTTTTCAGTTCGTGGTATAAAGTTCTATACACCATCTCCAAACTTCTATTCTATCTTCACGGATATAAATACGAACAAGTAAATGGAAAGAAAATGTTATAGAAGCTTGGTTAGACCATGTCAAAGAAATTATATGCAATGGAAACGAAAGAGTCTATGAGTATATCTTATGTTGGTTGCAAAACATCTTACAACATCCAAGTGCTAAAAATGAAACTGCTCTCATCATAATTGGAAAACAAGGAACTGGTAAGAACACTTTTTTACAGATATCTTATGCAAACTGTTAGAGGGCTATTTCGAACCCGAATATGACAAACTTAGAAAACATCTGCGGTAAATTTAACTCTTCAATAGAGAATATGAAACTTATAGTATGTAACGAACTTCAAAGTATAGATACAACAAAAGTTTTGAACTCAGATGCTTTGAAGAGTTTATAACAGACAAAGTTGGAGTTGTTGAAAGAAAATATAAAGACCAAAGAGTTTGTGAAAATGTTGCAAACTTCGTCATGGTTTCAAACAATGCCGTTCCGATGAAGTTAGAAAGTTCTGACAGAAAGATATGTAGTTGTCAGAACGTCAGATTCTCATATGCAAGATACAGAATATTTTGACGACTTAGCAGAAACTTTGACATCTGACTTTTACAACCACTTGTTCTCATATTTCATGACATTAGATATTTCTAAGTTCAATCCAAGACAAATTCCACATACCGAAGAGAGACAAACATTGTTAGAAGCAAACAAGAGTGTATATGAACTGTTCATAGATGAAACTGACTTTGAGTGTTTAGATGAAAGGTCATTGTACGATTCGTATAAACAATATTGTCAAGAATCTGGTTATATGACAGCGTCTAAACGAACATTCTTGGCAAATGTCAAAAGTCTTTTAGACGTACAGAATGGTGTATATACAAAGAAAAATTTTTCTGAGTAAATTTAAAAAAAAAATATTTTTTTATCCGATAGAAAAGATGACGAAATTCATCTCAGTCAACAAGTACATGTCAGGACTTAAAGAAGAACTAGACCCATTCACATATTTGAATGTTTACTTCTACCATTTTGAAAAGTCTTCATTCAGCAAAGTTTGGAACATCGAACCAGTTAAGTTTGCTATTGTGACTAAAAATGGTGCGAAATTTGAAGACTTAGACATAGAAGGTTTGTTAACAGTCAAAGAAAGTTTTGACAGAAGGTTTTCAAACCTTAAAGAAGGCAAAGCATACAAACTTGTTATACCTTATGAACCAAAGAAAGCAGACGACTATGAATATTATGAGTCTAAAGTTGTAGAAGTTCAAGGTAAATTGGGTAAAAAGATTTTAGAGTCTAAGCCGGTGTTTGCTCCTAAAGAGGAAGAGAACATTGACATTGACCCAGAAATGTTCTAAAAATAAAATTTTATTTTTACATGTCAAATTTCTTTTTCTCTGGAACTGGTTCAGGTTCTTTCTTCTCTTCTTCTACTTTCTTTTCTTTCTTTTCTCTCTTCTTCTTCTCTGGTGGAGTTATGTCAAACTTCTCAGAACCATATTTTTGTAAAAGTGCTTTGTCATTTAATAGCTCTTCTATTCTGTTTTCTATTTCATTTTCAAGAACAGCGCATGTGTCTTCTTTGCATTCTAAGAAGTTTTGTTGGACTTCATCTCTCCAAGAGGCGTCATCTCTGTCAACAAGTCTGTCATTGACAAATTTTAAGACTTCTCTGCTTAAGGTTTTATGGTTCTTGTCATATTCCCAGAAACAGAACTTTAGAACAAATTCCCCTTTCTTGTTTACACTATGTAAGATTTTATGGTCGACAGATGTTTTGCTGTCGAAAAGCTTGTCTCGAATATAGATAGCGAAATCGCTAGACATTTTCTAAAAGATAAAAATTTTAATTTTTCTAAAAATATGTTAGAAAAAAAGTTTGCTGACATTGACAAGAAATTTGAGAATGTTTTAAACAAGAACAAGAGGAAGTTAGAAAATGCTCAGATAAAACCCATACATGACAAGTTCTTATTTGCTCAGAATGGTATAACAGGTCTAATTGCACCACCTGGGTCGGGTAAGACTTTCACTTATCTTAAAATGGCTGCACAACAACAAGAACTAGATGAGAAGAACCCATTCTATGAGTTAGTAGTCATTTGTAGTACTTCGGGTCAATTTGACCAAACCGTAAATTCGTTCAAAGATATTATAAAGAAGTCTAAGTTAGTATGTATAAAAGACTCTGAGTTGTTAGATTGGATAAAGAAGTACCAAAGAAGAGTTTTGAAGTACAATGCTATAAATGAGTATGTCAATTCGAAGTTTAAAGACCCAAATGAGGAAATGCAGAGAATATTAGAGAAGAAACACTTCAGAAACAAACAGAAAGAGATAGAATACATTTCGAAGAAATTGCAATCTTACGATTGGAAGACTTACCCTCACAGATGTCTTCTTATCTTAGATGACTTTGCTTCTCATCCTTTGTTAAAGAACAGAGAACAAGACATGTGTCGAATTCTTAAGAAGCTCAGACACTTTAACATCTCAGTTGTCATTTGTGTACAGACAGCCAAGAGTTTAAGTAAGGATGTAAAGAGAATACTTACTGATATTATACTTTTCCCCGGATTGTCCGAAGACGATTTCATGGAACTTATGAAAGAGTCCATGGCAGGTAAGTTTGACAGACATGAACTATGGGAGAAGTACAAAGTCATACAAGACCCTCATACTTCTTTCAGAATTCATATCTACGCGAACAAAGTTCAAATTGTAAAAAGTCAAGCGTAAAAATGTAAGTGTTGAGTCTTAGTCTGCTTGTGGTGCTGGGGCTGTCGGTTCTTCTGGCTTTGGAAGACATTCAGGAAGAGGAACGTCAGCCATCCGTTTGTGTCCTGTCGGAAGGAAGAACTTTTCCTGTTGGAAGGAAGAACTCTTCCTGTCGGAAGGAAAAATTTTTCCTGTCGGAAGGAAAAACTTTTCCTGTCGGAAGGAAAAACTTTTTCTGAAGTTCGACCAAAAAGTTCTCAATTTTCGAAAATTTGAATGGTTTACGGACGGACAACTGGAAAAATTTTTCCTGTTGGAAGGAAAATTTTTTCCTGTTGGAAGGAAATTTTTTTCCTGTTGGAAGGAAATTTTTTTCCTGTTGGAAGGAAATTTTTTTCCTGTTGGAAGGAAGGACTCGGAATGCCAGAAGGATTTGACAAGACAATTTACCTTATAGAGCTACCTGAGCCATTTGAAGTCAAGCTTGAAAAATAAATGGTTCATCTACTCTGCTTGTTTGAAGTTGTCAAAATACTCTGTTATTTTTTCTTTCAGTAGCGGCAAATCTTCTTTGAATGTAAGTATTGTACAACCTTTCATATCATAGTGTGTTTGAGGTAACGTATCTTGAACTATCTGTTTAACATCTTCATTCGGTGTCATTGAAATCGGTAAGTTTTCGCGATAGAACCAATTTCTGTCAGATTTGTAAATCTTAGCAAGGTCGTAAAAGCTTTTGTTGTTTCTTCTGACTAAATGCAACATAACCATATCTCTGTCTTCTTCATTTTCCATCTCTTCAGTATAAATCATATACTTATAGTTCTTTTCCTTTCCTTTTGGTACCGAACGTGGTATTCTTTTCTGTATGTTTTTGTCTTTTGCTTCAAGCTTGTTCTCTAGCTCTTCACGTTCTTGTCTATGAATTTCGTCAAGAAGTCTGTAAATATACCAAGCATAACGAGTTGAAGCCCACATTGCAACAGCATTTACAAGAAGTCTATGTACATAATATCCTCTCAAACCGTTTGGCAATTTTTCACGATTTTCATAGAGTTTTGGCGACTGGGGTTTTTTACTTACTCGAGTTTTTGCGACTACGGAAAAATCCGTAGTCGAATTTTCAGCTTCATTTAATAGTTCAATAGTGCTTTGGTTCCTAAACCAGTCTTGTGGTTTCTTAGTATCTGGTTCAAAACATGCTGTCAAAATACTTTGCATTTGGTACATGTCATCTTTGACCGAACGAATGAGACGTAACTGTTTGTTATACTGAACCCACTCGTATTCTTCATCTATAGCTTCATGAACGATAGCAGTTGTTGTGTTCTCTGTTGTTGTCATATCTGTCTTTACATACAAAATAAAAAAATAAAAAAAAATAAAATTAGCGTTATTTTCTATCTTGTATAAAAGACCAAAAATAAACGCTTTACATGTATTTTTCAGCAACTTCGTCAAATACTTTTATAGCACTATCTATCTCATCTACTTCAAACGTTTCTTTACCTTTCGTGGGAGCACCATACATTTTCTCAAACTTTTCAAGTAGTTCTGTTTCTGCAGCTCTCATATCGTTAACAAACACAACCTTGACTCTATTGACTATACTGTCATATCTTTGAGTTATATTAAATGTTCTTCCTATCTTATATCTCTTTGTATTGAAGTCCTTCGGTTTCTGAACGATGTAAAGTAAGCCTTCACTGCAACGTTCCGTATCGAATGAACCATATGTTATGAAATTATATCCAACAACTGGGTCAATCCAGAACAAAACTACTGGTATAAGACTTTTGTCTATAAGATATGCTCTTGTTCCATAGAATCTTACCGATATCATCAGCTCAGGATTTCTTGTCAAAATTTTCTGAGTTGAAGCATTTCTAACCCAGTCGTGGGATGTTTTCTTTCCAGATAGTGTTAAAATGTCTGACAAAGAATATTTGTTGTATTTCTTTGAGTATCTTACGTTTAAATCACCTATTCTAACCACTTTGGTGTCATTGTCTATCTTTTTAACTGTTTCAAACTCAATGTTTGTCATTTCCTGTTCTTACATACAAAATAAAAAAATAAAAAAAATAAAAACTAACTTTTTTTTCTATCTTGTATAAAAGATATGATTTCAGGGATTTTTTTGACGAAGAGTAAAAGTTCACTTCGTAAAAAAAATACAGTTATATAATGAAATTTGGTCATTTTTTCACTGTTTTCATAGAGTTTTGGCGACTGGGGTTTTTTACCTACTCGCAATTTTTCACGATTTTCATGAGTTTTTTTTACGATTTTCATGAGTTTTAGGCGACTACGTTTTTTTACGTACTCGCAATTTTTCACGATTTTCATGTGTTTTAGGCGACCCCGAAAAAAGTCGGGGTCGCAAATTCTTGCGATTTTCGAATGGAATCTCGTCCCTCGGTTTTCCGAGGGTCGCATTTTTTCACGATTTTCATAGAGTTTTTTTACGATTTTCGTACGGAATCTCTACCCTCGGTTTTCCTCAGGTAGCAAACATATGAGGAAATTCATGAAATTTGGTCATTTTTTTCAGCAAAAATATATTTTAGGGTAGATGGTTTTTAGGTGTCACCAGGTCACTCGGTCACTCGGTCAACTAACATCTTTTTTCACAAGCATTTTACATGAATTGTACGATGTATATTTGAAATTCTAAACAGTTTTGTAGCTTCTATTTCTTCTGTCAGTATGTCAAAAGTTTTAACAATGCCGAATGTTTCTTTATATTTCTTCTTGACGTCAGATAGAAGGAAATCGTCAGCAGTTGGATAGTTTTTGTTCAGAAATGTCAACATGTCCATTTTATCTTCTGCTGGTTTCTCTGCTTCTTTCTTTTAAGTCAGCATAGTCGTTTCGCATACGTTCTATCTCTTTGACGGAGTAGTTATATTTCCTCATTGCTGCTTTACATTTTGAACATTGTGAGTTCATTTTAGCATTGTACATTGAAACCTTACCTGCAAGTATGACTAAGGCGTAAATGGTTTTCTTTAACTCAAAGGCTGCTGGTTTTATTTGTCCGTTCCATACTTTACCTCTTCTATCTTTATCTCTTATCTGCCATACACATTTTGCAACTAACGAAACAAAGTTGTCGTAGGTCTTAAACTCCCCAGATTTATATATGTCAATGAAATATACCATATCGCAGTCTTTGTGGTTGCAATGAAATCCAAGAAACTCATAGTTTATCTTACGTATGAACTTCTTTATTTCTACTGAGTCAGTTGCTTTGACTTCTATTTCATCGAATTCAGGAATAGTGAGCTTTTGTTGTTGTATTTCAGGAAGTTTAGGTAGATGGTCAATAATATCCTGCATTTCATAAAGATACTGTTCATTTGTTTCATCCTGTGCGGTACAGTCTAAATCTCCTTGGAGAAGTTCCTGCTTTATCTTCTGGATTTCTGTTTCGAAAGTATATGAAGAAGGAATGAAGCTTTTCATCTCTACTAACATTGAAGTTGGGTTCATGACTAACGAGTTTGGTGCTGTTGTTGCTAACATGTTCTTACAATAAAAATAAAAAATATTTTTTTAAAAAAAAAACTAAAATATATTTTTATTGAATTCAGCAACAAAATTCAAGAGTTTTGTGTGTTTTCTACGATGGTAGAAATGAGGTTAGAAATGAGGTTAGATCTAACCATCTACCCTAAAATATATTTTTGCTGATTTACGCTCATTACGATGAAATCATGACAAAACATATACGAAGAAGTCTTAACAAAACATATACGATGAAATCATGACAAAACATATACGAAGAAGTCTTAACAAAACATGTAGGATGAAGTCTTAACAAAACATATACGATGAAATCATGACAAAACATTTACGAAGAAGTCTTAACAAAACATATACGAAGAAGTCTTAACAAAACATGTACGATGAAATCATGACAAAACATGTACGATGAAGTCTTAACAAAACATGTACGATGAAGTCTTAACAAAACATTTACGATGAAATCATGACAAAACATATACGATGAAATCATGACAAAACATGTACGATGAAGTCTTAACAAAACATGTACGAAGAAGTCTTAACAAAACATATACGATGAAATCATGACAAAACATATACGAAGAAGTCTTAACAAAACATGTACGATGAAGTCTTAACAAAACATGTACGAAGAAGTCTTAACAAAACATTGACGATGAAGTCTTAACAAAACATGTACGAAGAAGTCTTAACAAAACATGTACGAAGAAGTCTTAACAAAACATGTACGAAGAAGTCTTAACAAAACATATACGATGAAATCATGACAAAACATGTACGATGAAGTCTTAACAAAACATGTACGAAGAAGTCTTAACAAAACATTTACGATGAAATCATGACAAAACATATACGATGAAATCATGACAAAACATATACGAAGAAGTCTTAACAAAACATGTACGATGAAGTCTTAACAAAACATGTACGAAGAAGTCTTAACAAAACATGTACGATGAAGTCTTAACAAAACATGTACGAAGAAGTCTTAACAAAACATATACGATGAAATCATGACAAAACATATACGAAGAAGTCTTAACAAAACATGTACGATGAAGTCTTAACAAAACATGTACGAAGAAGTCTTAACAAAACATGTACGATGAAGTCTTAACAAAACATGTACGAAGAAGTCTTAACAAAACATATACGATGAAATCATGACAAAACATGTACGATGAAGTCTTAACAAAACATGTACGATGAAGTCTTAACAAAACATGTACGAAGAAGTCTTAACAAAACATGTACGATGAAATCATGACAAAACATATACGATGAAGTCTTAACAAAACATATACGATGAAATCATGACAAAACATGTACGATGAAGTTTATTTCCTGTGTTGTTGTCAAAATGTCATGTTGTCACCATTTTCAAAAAGATGTTAGTTGACCGAGGGACCTGGTTCCACCTAAAATATATTTTTTTCTGTCTTAAGGAAATTCATGAAAATTCACCTGTTGAATTTTGTATAAAAAGCAACCGCCGGAATTCCGGCGGTTGGTATATTCTTCACAAAATGCTTGTTTTGAGGTCGAGCCACTTTTGGCTCCACCTCTTTTTTCAACCAAAACTCAAGAATTTCCTGCATTTTAGCACTATTGAGAAATCTGTTTAAATGGTTTAACCTTCCCGCTTCTCTTGCCATCTTTGTTGCATTTATATAACCATCCTTGTCTCTACGTAAGACTTCTTTGAGTTCTCCAGGTACACCTTGGAAAATGCTGAAGAACTCCGACACAGAGAATTTGGAGAAATTGCGCTCCAATACTACCCTGACAAACAAAGGGTAAAATAAGACTAAAAACTTAACGTTTAAAAAGTGACATTTTTAATGAGCTCCGAGTCACCGAGAAAACTTGGTCAGATGTTAGCAGCTTACTTCCCTGAGGAGGATGGAAGCGTTACATACGTAAGGTTCAAAAACAACGAACCTGGAATTGCGTACCAAATTCGCAATTCCATGACCATGGAAGAGTACGAAAGGTTCCTACAAGAGAAACCAGCTCTAAACAACTCAGAAAAGAAAGAATAAAAAGTTTAACTCGTAATTGTTTATTTTTTTACTTGTATGGGCAAGCTGCAAGAATGAAGTCGACTATCTCAGTCTTTGTCTTGACGAGCTGGACGGCTCTTGCGAGTACGTCTGTTTTGCGGTCTCCAGCTGGTGTCTGACCTTCGTAATTGCGCATGTTCTTGAGAGCTCCAACTGTAAATGGTTGTAGGATGAAGAGTCTCTCAGACTGCTTGAGGTAGTCGTCACGGTCACGAACCGAATCTGTGGTACGAGTCGAATCGGTCGATTTGAGGGAAGAGACTGAAAGTCTGTCGTCTTCCATTGGAGCTGTAGCATACTCTTTGCGTAAGCGGTTCAGACCTTCTTCGAAGTCTTGGTCTCTCTTCGATTGAGATTGGAATTGGAATTGCTGGGGTGGAGCTTGCTGGAACATCCAAGGGTTGGGGAAGTAAGGCATAGGTTGAGGAGGGTAGTTCGGGAAGCCTTGTGGTGGGTAGTAACCTTGAGGTGGAAATTGGTAGTAATTTGGTGGAGGTACTTGCTGGAACTGAGGTTGTTGTGGTTGCTGAGGTGCAGGGGCTGGTGCTTTAGGTTCTTCTGGCTTTGGAAGGCATTCAGGAAGAGGAACGTCAGTCATCCGTTTGTGTCCTGTCGGATGGAAGAACTTTTTCTGTCGGAAGGAAAAACTTTTTCTGTCGGAAGGAAAAACATTTTCTGAAGTTCGACCAAAAAGTTCTCAATTTTCGAAAATTTGAATGGTTTACGGACGAACAACAGGAAATTTTTTTCCTGTCGGAAGGAAGAACTTGGAATGCAAGAAAGACTTGACGAGGCAATTTACCTAATTGAAATTAACGACTGCGTAAAAGACTACTTGCGCAAGGTCATGAAGCCCAAGGTCAAGTTCATCTCTATTTCTGGAAGGTCTACACTTCAGCTCGAGACTTCGACTGGAATTCCAATTCAAATACCAGACGGGACAGCCTACGATGGCATAAAGGACGCCAAAAGAGAAGCTCTTGTTAAGTTCCTAAACAAACGTCCTTGGATAAAAATACCAAACAAGGAGAACCCCCTACCCCATATGAAATTGGCAATTCAGTCTCTCCTTCACTTCTCGGGTCAGCCGTTCTACATAACCTGTGAAGGCGACATTCAGCCAGTTCAGTAAACATCTCATTTTAACTTCACTTTTTTTATGTTTTTACGCATGTGAAGAAGAAGCCTTCTGGTAAGTTTCTTATAGCCATATACATGGCACGCTTTGAGTAAAAACATTTTTTTCATTTTTTGAATGAAGCAAGTTAAATTCGTCCCACACCAATCTCAATGGACCGATGAAGAGTTTCAAGCTATGGTTGAAGGTGTTGAGAACGACATAGACGGCGAACTTGAAGCAGCTCAAATCACAATTGCAACCAAAATTGCAGAAGTCAAGGAACAGATAGCTCCACTTAAAGCTACCAAAGCTACTCTTGACCTCATGGATAGTTACCGTTTAGATGTCAAGAGTGGAATAAGACAATTAAAATTAAAACTTCTAAACTACGAAGCTATACTCCAAAAGTTAGCAGAAATGAGAAGACTTTACCAGAGCTACTTACATGTAAGGGACTTACCTTCAAGCAGTCCGACCAAAGATGAATTTGTTGACATTGTCCCAATTTTGTCCGAAAGTCAGCTCAGATGTTTCGAACTGCTCCCAACATATCCAGAATATGAACGTTTGCCTGAACTCTTCCGCAATCTCAAAAAACGTTTTTTGGTTCTCATGTTCGAAACTTTTATCGGAAGAGACAACAAACGTTCAGAAGAAGAACAAGATATTATTTTAAACTTGTTGTATGACTTAACCATCATAACAAGCTTTTTGAAGTAAAACCGTCATTCTCAAACCACTTCATTTTTTCGATGTCCGAACAAGCACCGAAGCCAAACTCAATGGCAGATGTCCTTTCAAGGTTGCCAGACAAGCGCCCAGTTCAACTTCAAATTGTCCAATTGAACGCTCATCTGACAAACACCATTAAGACTCTCCAAAGTAGTCTTATGACAGAGATGAAGGAACTTAAAGCCGATCCCATGAACCAAGCTTCCAATGAGAAATGCCTGAACGATTTCGCGGAAACCTTGCGCAATTACGAGAGAGAGAACCGAGACCTTGCCAGACTCATCTACCGTTTCTTCGAAGAGATAGACGCCATCTGGAAGGTACTCGGAAAGGACAGAACATGCAACACCGTACTTCGGTGAGTACCAAATTGAAGAAGGAATTTTCGAGGAAGAAGAGAAACACGAAGAAGAAGAGGAAGAAGAAGAGAAACACGAAGAAAAGGAAGTTTGGGCAACCCTTGTTGCCGATGACAGTTATGAAATTTCCCAACCCTACCCATACAAAATCCGCAACAGGGAGACCGGCAAGGTTCTTACCCAGTCCTCAACAACTTGGGACACTTGAGCCTTAACCTTCGGAATTACGGTACAATTTCCATGGGAAGGCTTGTCGGTATGCAATGGGTTCCAAATCCAAACAAGAAGACGAAGGTCAGACACATTGACGGTGACAAGCTCAACAACCGTAAGGAGAACCTCGAGTGGTTCTAAGAGTAAAAAAATTTTATTTTAGGGGGAAAACCCGAGTAAATTTAAGTTTTTAGTTGCATAAGTAGCTTAAATTAATGGTCATTTGGATAAGTAGTTCCTGACCTTTGAATTGGACTCTTTCGTCATCCCAGTTGCGTAGGAGGTCGTCCCAGAGGAGTTGGTAGAATTGCCAATCCAAGGACGATTTGTCCTCCCAGGCATTGAGGATGTACTGCTCGTAGAGTTTCATGACCTCTGCCTTGCACCAGACACCCTCTCCCTTGGAACGTAAGGCTTCTTCGAAGTGCTCGAATGCGATTGGCTGCGTGACCATCTGAAATGACACTTTTTGTCCGTTTGGTCAACGTTCGTGTCTCGTGCCATAGTCGACGAAAATACAGACAAACAGGTTATATATGAGTTTGAGACCAAGAATTCCCCACATTTAAATTCAAATTCGAATAAAAAATTTTTACTTCATGCAATGTTTTATTTCTGTGCCGTCTTCAAGTATGCCCCAGTACTTACGCTTGGAGAGGACATGAACTTCGGAAAATACCTTATCTAGCTTAAAACAGCCCATCTTTTCACCGACCATTCCCATTTCAATGAGTTTGTTGTATCCTTCTTCGTTCGTATATGTTTTGTCATGATTTCATCGTATATGTTTTGTCATGATTTCATCGTAAAGACTTTGTCATGACTTCATCGTCAATGTTTTGTCATGACTTCATCGTCAATGTTTTGTCATGACTTCATCGTAAAGACTTTGTCATGACTTCATCGTCAATGTTTTGTCATGACTTCATCGAACTTCATCGTATATGCTTTGTAAAGACTTCATCGTCAATGTTTTGTAAAGACTTCATCGTCAATGTTTTGTAAAGACTTTGTCATGACTTCTTCGTAAAGACTTTGTCAAGACTTTGTCATGACTTCTTCGTAAAGACTTTGTCAAGACTTCATCGTCAATGTTTTGTAAAGACTTTGTCATGACTTCATCGTAAAGACTTTGTTGAGACTTCATCGTAAAGACTTTGTCATGACTTCTTCGTAAAGACTTTGTTGAGACTTCATCGTAAATGTTTTGTCATGACTTCATCGTCAATGTTTTGTTGAGACTTCTTCGTCAATGTTTTGTAAAGACTTTCTCATGAACTTTCTTGTCTATGTTTTGTCAAGACTTCTTCGTCAATGTTTTGTTGAGACTTCATCGTAAATGTTTTGTCAAGTTCTTCTTCATCTAATTTCTCATGAACTTTCTTGTCTATGTTTTGTCAAGACTTCTTCGTCAATGTTTTGTTGAGACTTCATCGTAAATGTTTTGTCAAGTTCTTCTTCATCTAATTTCTCATGAACTTTCTTGTCTATGTTTTGTCAAGACTTCTTCGTCAATGTTTTGTTGAGACTTCATCTAATTTCTCATGAACTTTCTTGTCTATGTTTTGTCAAGACTTCTTCGTCAATGTTTTGTTGAGACTTCATCTAATTTCTCATGAACTTTCTTGTCTATGTTTTGTCAAGTTCTTCTTCATCTAATTTCTCATGAACTTTCTTGTCTATGTTTTGTCAAGACTTCTTCGTCAATGTTTTGTTGAGACTTCTTCGTAAAGACTTTGTTGAGACTTCATCGTAAATGTTTTGTTGAGACTTCTTCGTAAAGACTTTGTTGAGACTTCATCGTAAATGTTTTGTTGAGACTTCTTCGTAAAGACTTTGTTGAGACTTCATCGTAAATGTTTTGTTGAGACTTCTTCGTCAATGTTTTGTTGAGACTTTGTCATGACTTCATCGTAAAGACTTTGTTGAGACTTCATCGTAAATGTTTTGTCATGACTTCTTCGTAAAGACTTTGTTGAGACTTCTTCGTAAAGACTTTGTTGAGACTTCATCGTAAATGTTTTGTTGAGACTTTGTCATGACTTCATCGTAAAGACTTTGTTGAGACTTCATCGTAAATGTTTTGTTGAGACTTCATCGTAAAGACTTTGTTGAGACTTCATCGTAAATGTTTTGTTGAGACTTCTTCGTAAAGACTTTGTTGAGACTTCATCGTAAATGTTTTGTTGAGACTTCTTCGTCAATGTTTTGTTGAGACTTTGTCATGACTTCATCGTAAAGACTTTGTTGAGACTTCATCGTAAATGTTTTGTTGAGACTTCTTCGTAAAGACTTTGTTGAGACTTCTTCGTAAAGACTTTGTTGAGACTTCATCGTAAATGTTTTGTTGAGACTTTGTCATGACTTCATCGTAAAGACTTTGTTGAGACTTCATCGTAAATGTTTTGTTGAGACTTAATCGTAAATGTTTTGTTGAGACTTCTTCGTCAATGTTTTGTTGAGACTTTGTCATGACTTCATCGTAAAGACTTTGTTGAGACTTCATCGTAAATGTTTTGTTGAGACTTCTTCGTAAAGACTTTGTTGAGACTTCTTCGTAAAGACTTTGTTGAGACTTCATCGTAAATGTTTTGTTGAGACTTTGTCATGACTTCATCGTAAAGACTTTGTTGAGACTTCATCGTAAATGTTTTGTTGAGACTTAATCGTAAATGTTTTGTTGAGACTTCTTCGTAAAGACTTTGTTGAGACTTCATCGTAAATGTTTTGTTGAGACTTCATCGTAAAGACTTTGTTGAGACTTCATCGTAAATGTTTTGTTGAGACTTCTTCGTAAAGACTTTGTTGAGACTTCATCGTAAATGTTTTGTTGAGACTTCTTCGTAAAGACTTTGTTGAGACTTCATCGTAAATGTTTTGTTGAGACTTCTTCGTAAAGACTTTGTTGAGACTTTGTCATGACTTCATCGTAAAGACTTTGTTGAGACTTCATCGTAAATGTTTTGTTGAGACTTCTTCGTAAATGTTTTGTTGAGACTTCTTCGTAAAGACTTTGTTGAGACTTCATCGTATATGTTTTGTTGAGACTTCTTCGTAAAGACTTTGTTGAGACTTTGTCATGACTTCTTCGTAAAGACTTTGTTGAGACTTCATCGTAAATGTTTTGTTGAGACTTCATCGTAAATGTTTTGTTGAGACTTAATCGTAAATGTTTTGTTGAGACTTCTTCGTAAATGTTTTGTTGAGACTTCATCGTAAATGTTTTGTTGAGACTTCATCGTAAAGACTTTGTTGAGACTTCATCGTAAATGTTTTGTTGAGACTTCTTCGTAAAGACTTTGTTGAGACTTCATCGTAAATGTTTTGTTGAGACTTCTTCGTAAAGACTTTGTTGAGACTTCATCGTAAATGTTTTGTTGAGACTTCTTCGTAAAGACTTTGTTGAGACTTCATCGTAAATGTTTTGTTGAGACTTCTTCGTAAAGACTTTGTTGAGACTTCATCGTATATGTTTTGTTGAGACTTCATCGTAAAGACTTTGTTGAGACTTCATCGTAAATGTTTTGTTGAGACTTCTTCGTAAAGACTTTGTTGAGACTTCTTCGTAAAGACTTTGTTGAGACTTCTTCGTAAATGTTTTGTTGAGACTTCTTCGTAAAGACTTTGTTGAGACTTCTTCGTCAATGTTTTGTTGAGACTTCTTCGTAAAGACTTTGTCATATCTAAAACTCATAGTCATGTATGTCCTCTAACCATCTCATAACGGTTTCCAAACCACTTTTATCGGATGTAAAGTAAAAACATGGATGGTTATGTAAAACGTCTAAAGTTTCTAAAGAGTCTCTCAAAGTATACTTCCTTGGAACGTCCGTAACTTTTCTGTAGCGACGATAGACCCTTACTTGTCCGGACATAGTTATACTATTTTGAGTCCTCTACAAAAAAAGTCAACAGCAACGACTCTCAAAAATTTTATGGGCTAGAAGGGGCGCAGCCCCTGGGAAGCCCCCTATACCCAAAAAAAACTCATTTTATATAAACTTCATTTTATACTAACATCTTCGGGGCTAGAGGGCACGAAGTGCCTGGAGGCCCCACTACCTTTTTTTTTTAATCTATTATTATATATAATGTAATTAAGAAAAAAAAATAAAATGACCTGCATTTATTAATTACCCTATTTATTAATTACCCGGGTTGTCAATTTTTTGGGGGCCTATGGAGAAATTTACTTTATCAATAGCGCACCATAGATTCGAATCCAGAGCCTATAATTCTAGAAGTAGATGAAGGTACCCTAGAATAACTATGTGGTGTAGTTTTTATTGCTATTTAAGATATCACATAAAATATATTAATCAAATAATAAAAATTTCAATAAAATTAAATAATTGTTATTTTTATATAGAGTAGATATTATTTCTATATTTAGATCGAAAAAATAAATAATTCTGAAGTACTAGTAATATTCATCCATGATGATTTATTTTTCAATATTATAAAAAAAAAAGGAAGTGGGGCTTCCAGGCACTTCGTGCCCTCTAGCCCTGAAGATGTTTAGTATAAAATGAAGTTTTTTTGGGTATTGGGGGCTTTCCAGGGGCTGCGCCCCTTCTAGCCCATAAAATTTTTGAGAGTCGTCGCTGTTGACTTTTTTTGTAGAGCACTCAAAATAGTATAACGTTGTCCGGACAAGTAAGGGTCTATCGTCGCTACAGAAAAGTTACGGGCGTTCCAAGGAAGTATACTTTGAGAGACTCTTTAGAAACTTTAGACGTTTTACATAACCATCCATGTTTTTACTTTACATCCGATAAAAGTGGTTTGGAAACCGTTATGAGATGGTTAGAGGACATACATGACTATGAGTTTAGATATGACAAGATAGAATATGAGAGAGGTCCTATAAACCGGAGAAAGTGTCATATAAACATCTGTCAAAAGCCGCTTTTTAACTTCACTTAAAATGCCACGTAAGCTACGTAAGAATATACGTAAGAGGAAGAGAGCATTGAAACATCCAATAGTAAGACTGACACCACAACAACAGTTGCAACAACAAATGCTGAATGACCCCACTATGTTGCAACAAATGTCAAGCAACCCTATGCTTTTAAACCGAGTCATTGGTGCACAGAGTGGAGGTTTAAGAGCGGCACTTTTAGCGAAAATGGCAGGCTATGGTGGAGCTGCAGACGGAACAGCCTATAACCCTCAAAGTCAAATGAATTTGAGTTCACTCAAAAATCAAATATCAGATGTCAAAAAGTCAAACATAGACATACAGAAACAAATAAGTGAAAACGAAAAGAAACTAGAATATGACAGACACACAAAGAAACTCAATGAGTTAAACGTAGAGAAAAAGAAGAAAGAAGAACAACTGAAAGAACTAAGTACAGAGGAATATGCGAAAAAAGTGTCAGAAAAAGCAGCAGAAGTAGCAAAAATGGAACAAGATGTTTTAAATTTGAAAAACCATACTACTCAATATAAAGTACTGAAAGATGAAGAAATAAAACAAAAAGCCCTGAAGACATATATGGATAGCGATGAGTATAAAAAAGAAGTTGAAGCAAATGTAAAGGCAGAAAAACTTTTACAGTTGCAAAACCAAACCGTACAGTATGAAAACTTAGCACAAGAAAGTAAAAATAACGACGCAGCCATGCAAAAGGCAATGAAAAGCGCAGAATATATAAAAGCTAACAATGACTGGTTAGATGCCCAAGCCAACGCTAAAGCAGCCCAACTTATAGGGTCAATAAGGACAAAAATACAAGCGGATGAAGACAGTTCAAATGAAGCTTTAACGAATGCTGACTTTAAGAACGCCTTCGAAGCTCTTCATAGTAAGGTGAAACTAGTGAACGACTTCTCATCTGGAAAGAAACTGAAGTCTGAAGGTTTCGACAAAGAGTTAAAAGAAGTAGCACAAAATATGACGAAAATAACAGATGCAGCAACGAGACAGGCAGTTCAAAGTGCCTATGACGCCGTTAGAGCAACTGTTGTGGAAAGTCAAGAAAAAGAGTTACAACAGACCAAAACAGACCTAGTAAATGCTTTCTTAAAAACGAAAAGTCAGGTAGGACATTATGCTGCAGATGGAACATATGTGCCAGCTGGTGGAACTTATATACTAGCTAGTGGAACTTATATACCACCAAACCCTCCAAGAGAAGCACCTGCACCAGGACTACCTAAAACATTTACATCGTCACATGGACACAGACACAGGCATGCACCAAAACCAGCACAACAACCAACACAACAACCAACAGTTCAAAATCCAGCACAACAACAACCAGCACAACAACCAACAGTTCAAAATCCAGCACAACAACAACAACCACAAACAGAGCAAGGACATAAAAGAAGTAGAGAACAAGGAAACCAAGAATTCTTAAAAATGCTTAAGGAAGATTATGGTTACCCAGATACTCTTGACTTTAGTGACAGATATAAAGAAGCTATTAGAAAGTTCAAGGAAGGAAATACTGACCCGAACCTATTTAGCTTTATGGTTCAGCACCAAATGGGATATAATTTCAAACCTGGAAAATACAAGCTCGCTAAGGGATATGATTTAATAGCATATCATCCAAATGACATGGATGAATTTACTCCGAGATATTTGGTGTCAGAGATAAATGATAATTCAACTATCTTCATGAAACGCGTAAAAAATAGAGACGGAACGAAAGAAGAAAGGGTTATGAATGCGAATGACTTAAATAGGGAACTTGTTAAAAACGGTCTCGGAATATATGAAATGCCAGCAGATGAGGTACAAGAAACTCCACAGGAAGAAGTTCAGATACAACCAGACATGGAAGAAATAGTTCAGCAACAACAGCTAGAAGAGCCTGAAGGAAACGAACAAGTCACTCCTTTGGAAACTAACTTCACAGAACTAGATGAAGATTTGGAACAGCCGAAAAATCTTGACCCTCAACAAGAGTATGCGGAGAATATGGAATCTTTCCAAGAGTCTAAGAAAAATTCGGCTGACATAGTAGAAGAATATCGAAAAATGTTTGCCGACATACAAAAGACTCCAACACCAGATGAAAATATTCAGCATAGAATGGAAGTACTGAAAGAAAATGTACACAAATACAACAACCCTTTTTACTTACGAGCATTTAACGTTCAATCTTCGGATGAACTCGGTGAAAATAAAAGGTTAAATTTCAACAAAACATATAGAAATGAAACATTGTTTAAAGTTCATTCAGAACCTAACCAAGATGGAAACAAACCTACTTTTGTTTCTGCAGACTATGGAACTACAATGAGATGGGGTCATAAAGCTAATCCGGATAGGTGGTTCATAAACTTACAACCTCAATTCCAAGAAGTTGTAGACGCAATGGAAGTGAATGGTGAACGAGATATAGCTGGTATTTTAAGCGCGGCTTTAATGCCATTGAAAGATATGAAACATGCAGATATTTTGGACCAGTATGAAATGAACATGGCTGATGGAAATATAACACCTGACGTTCTAGAACATTTATCTCAAAGAACTACACAGAACCATAGAGATGGTATATTTGGTGAAGAGTTTAGAAAGAAAGTTAGGGAGGGAGAAGGAAGAGAACCTATTGTACATGACCTTGCAAACGAAAGTTTACAAAATGTCATAAAAACTTACTTTGCAGACAATGAACCGAGAAGGGATGAATATTTAAGAAAACTCAAATGGACAGTACCAAATGAAATGTTAGTATTGAAAAACATGTTCCTTGACAAAATAAAACCAACTACAGAAATAAATGACGCAAGACTGAAACATTGGGTAAAAGCTTTCCCATTCACAAAAGATATTATTGGTAACATGGAAAGAAAACCAGAATGGCTACAAAAACATATATTTGGAAACGAGCTTATTCCATATGGACAAGCTCTGTTTGAAGAGCTAGAACCGGAAACTCAGGAAAGAGTCATGCAAACAATACGCGAAGACTCAAATACAAACTATGACAAAATCTTTCTAGGATATAGGTTACCTGAGATGGGCGACCAGAGCCCAAAGGCAAAAAGGACATGGGAAATTTACAACATACTAGGTGAACATGAGGCAAAGATGCAACAACTTGAAGCAGAGGGCAAGTTACCAAAAGCGACACAAAAGAAGAAGAGAAGAGTAAAACAAAGTGAAAGTAGTGAAGAAGTAACTTCATCTAGTGAAAGTAGTGGCAATGAAGGAAAAAGAAGAGTTAAAAACTCAGTCAGGAAGAAAGTAAAGCTTGGTCCGAGTGGGTTCTATTATGACACATAAATCCAACTATTCTATATTTTTACCCATATGAAATGTACGCCGCTCAGAATATAACGCCAACAGTTTTGGATGCCATGAATGGAAATGTTTCCGAATGGTATAACGAATGCGACAATGCCATTAGAAGGTCAGAAATAGTTCCTGGAACTTACGAATATACAACTGCTGTTTCTTATGGAAACGTAGGTGAGTTTGGAGAAGGTTCTTCAACAACAGTAGATATTGCTTGCGACAGGTTTCATATTATTTCTATTGACAACTCATTCTTATACGTGGAACAAGACATTGAAATAAAACCTTCTGCCAAGTTGTCTGACAAGAAAGGTTGCAATGGAATTTTCTATGTCGGATACCAATATGCTCCAGAAGTTTTCATGGGATATAAGATATATTCTAACTCTGACTTAGTTCAAACAGTAACATGGGCAAACTATGAATGGTTCGCTTTGAGAAACTCAGTACAACCACAAGCTAGAGAACAAACAGACCAGTATGCAACTATTGAGAAAATAAGAAGACTTGACCCTAACGTTCCAGGAGTTTATGTTAACCTTTCTGGACAAACTGCAGCAGCAGTAACCAAAGTAAAACTGAAACTTAGAGTTCCTTTGTCATCTTTCCTCATCTTCAGGTTTTTAAGATACTTGCCAAACTGGGCAGGAAAAATTTCTATCGAACTTACTCCAAGCAAAAATAACTTAGTCATTGCACCAACACAAGACCCATTCACTATTACAGACGTAAAGGGAACAAATAAAACGTCATTCGCCGAATTTTGCAAAGACAAAGTTGACTTAGACTTTGGTTTCTCAAACCTCAACACTGAAGTAAACTATTATTTCAATGCTGCTGGAGATGCTTGGGACCCAGTTAAGTTCACATGCGAAAAATTTGAATGCAAGAGAATAGAAAGCAGACTTGCAGTCTATATGTTGGACCCAGATATTTCAAATGCTTTAGCTGCCAAATATATTGCAGTTCCACTTATGTTCCCTATACACCAAATATCTGTCAAAGACTTTGCAGGTGAAGTTGGAAACCAAAGTGCTGACCCAGGTGCAAGAACAGATATTGCTTTAACAACTGCAATGAAACATGCAGATACTATGTTTGTACTGTTCAGACGAACTATAAATGACTATTCTTGTTTCTACAACCCCGGTATTAAATATCATATAAACATAGATGGCAAATATTATCCAAGAGAAGAATATTCTACAGTTGAGGATATGAGGTCATACAACTTGACATTAGATGCTATGAACTTTAACAACAACTTCACAACAACCATTAACCCTGAAATGCAAAGTTCTATTATGCCATATGTGAAAGTATGGACTCATTCAGGAGGTCAAAAAACTCAATATACAAATGGAGACCGTTCAAACTTTTGGCTTGGCATTCCATTTGCTGACTCAGAAGACTTTATGGGTGGTATTTCAACTGTTGGTACAGTTCAAATACAATATACTGGTGACAGAGACGGTCCAGATGAATTGAAAGCAAAGAAGTTTACAAAACCAATAGCACTTTTCACGGAAGATGCTCTTTTGAAGATTCGTTCGATGAAACCTGCTGGGGCTCCTCAGATTGGTATAACGACAGCTTCCATCGAGCAGATTTTGGCAGCAGGTCAGTAAGTTGTTCTTGAACTGACTTCTCTCCGTCAAATATTGACAGTACGCCAGTTTTGACATAATATTGTAAGATAAACTTACCTTTAGAAATATCTGTAAGTTTTGAAGTTATATTTTTGTCTGCTTCAAGAACTTTCACCATTTCAGTTATACCAACTTTCTTTGCTTTATGAAAATATTTTGGTTCAGCAAATATTGCTATTCTATAACATTTACCATTGTTTGTGTAAAGAACTATTCTGTCAATGTATTTGTATTGTTTGTGTGTGTAAACTTTGTTTTGCTTCAATTCGAAGAGATACTCAAATACGTCCATCTTTTTATTCTAAGTAAAATGTCATTTCCGAAAAATAGAAGCGTAAGTGTTTCAAAAGGTTTAATGGCGGTGGCAGATGTGAAGTTAAATTCACCAACTCAAACAAACAGTCAAAGTGTTGTTGTCAATGTCAAAGACAGAGATGTTGAAGTGGGGAAACCATACGAAGACGAAGATGGTATAACAATAGTTCCTGTAAAAGAACAACCAACATACCCTGAAGTTAGCAGAGACTTAAGTTCTGTTGCAGATATTCGAAACGACTACCAACAACTGAAAGACAAACTTAAAACTCAGGAGAAGATTTGTCAAGCTTTAGGTATAATGTTAAACTTGGTCGAACACAACCCTGTAAAAGTGAACTCATATGTCATTGCACCTCATGAAGTTTTGAAAGAACTATTGAAACTTTTGACAGAGGCAGACGATATAAACATCAAAGAAATAGAACCCGACATTAGTTGCTGTGGTGTTTCATATAATGTCATTGACAAGATATACGTTATGAAAGGAGGTGAAACGTTGAACTTAAAATATAGTTTCCCAGACGTTATAAAAATATTTGACGACCACAACATTTCATTAAAATTTATTTGCTAAGTAAAAATGGCAAAACTTCTTGAAAGATGTTTGAAGAAAAATAATATAGACTTTATTTCATGTAAAGGACTTTACACACTTTTGAACGATATGAAAGACCCTGTTTTGTTTGTTCGTGTAGACAAAGGAAAGTTCTATGTCTTTACAAAATATTTGAACTTCTTAGACAGAGAACTTCAAGAAACGCCATGTGAAAGTTTAGATGAAGTTCTTCTCCACTTTCAGAAAAACTTTTAAAATATATAAATGGCAGAAGACATAATGGTTTTATACTATTACGACTAAAAACCCTGAGTCATATAATTCTATAACAACAAACTTACAAAGTCCTCAAGGACGATATTGTAAACTAACCTTAAACACAATGACGACTAAAGCCTGTTTTGCTCTTTTGACACCAGAAGATTTTATTGTTGTGAATGGTAAAAAATACTCCTTTGAAGATACTTACTCAGATATACACCAACAGGTTTTGTTGACTTATTTAATACTTTAAGGACGAGTGTAACATGTGCTGCAACTAGAGCAGGTTTCATTATGTTTGGATGTCCGACTGAGTTTAGTATAAACGATATGAGCTATAATACAAAACTTATATCTGGTTTTTACTACCAACAGTTTCCTATAACAGGAAAAGGTGTCATACAAGGTTTGTCTGTTCCATTGACTTTAAGTACACCTATTTTATATATTGTTTCAAACTTAGGTTCAAAGTGCTATTCGAATGTCGACAGAAACTATTATGACCAAAAGATACTTATGCGTATAAACAATACTTTCTCTGCTGGTTTGCCTATTGTTCATTCGAATGCAGAATTTTCAACCTTAGTGAACTCAAACACTTTGGCAAGTATAACGTTGACATTAGTTGACGCAAACTTTGTTCCTGTAAAACTTTTATGTCCTATGTATTTGTCAATGACGGCAGAAAGTTTCGAATTGGAAGATGCAACTGGTGAAAGTAATTGTATTACAAGAAACAACTTCAACAACAAATAGCTCAAGAACAACAAATAGCTCAAGAATAAAAAAATATTTTTTTTATTTTTATAAAAATGTACAGAATAGATGTTTCAGATTTTTATGACTTCCAAGCATTCAGAAATATGTGTCCATTTAGAGACTATAACAAAGCAGTCGAGAATTTGAAACGTTTAGTCATTTATGTTGACTCTGCCCCAGAATGTTATGTTATGAAAGAATGGGATGTAGTCTTTAACAAACCTAAAGCGACAATAGTTTCAGAACAAGAATGTAAACAGAAACTTAAGAAAATAAAAGTCGTACAAGTTGGCATGAAGATGTTAGATGCTTGGGATATCTTATTGTCAAAACTTGAAGATTTTTCAGTTCGTGGTATAAAGTTCTATACACCATCTCCAAACTTCTATTCTATCTTCACTGGATATAAATACGAACAAGTAGAATGGAAACACAGTATTATAGAAGCTTGGTTAGACCATGTCAAAGAAATTATATGCAATGGAAACGAAAGAGTCTATGAGTATATCTTATGTTGGTTTGCAAACATCTTACAACATCCAAGTGCTAAAAATGAAACTGCTCTCATTATAATTGGAAAACAAGGAACTGGTAAGAACACATTCTTTACAGATATCTTATGCAAACTGTTAGAAGGTTATTCGAACCCGAATATGACAAACTTAGAAAACATCTGCGGTAAATTTAACTCTTCAATAGAGAATATGAAACTTATAGTATGTAACGAACTTCAAAGTATAGATACAACAAAAGTTTTGAACTCAGATGCTTTGAAGAGTCTTATAACAGACAAAGTTGGAGTTGTTGAAAGAAAATATAAAGACCAAAGAGTTTGTGAAAATGTTGCAAACTTCATTATGGTTTCAAACAATGCTGTTCCGATGAAGTTAGAAAGTTCTGACAGAAGATATGTAGTTGTCAGAACGTCAGATTCTCATATGCAAGATACAGAATATTTTGACGACTTAGCAGAAACTTTGACATCTGACTTTTACAACCACTTGTTCTCATATTTCATGACATTAGATATTTCTAAGTTCAATCCAAGACAAATTCCACATACCGAAGAGAGACAAACATTGTTAGAAGCAAACAAGAGTGTATATGAACTGTTCATAGATGAAACTGACTTTGAGTGTTTAGATGAAAGGTCATTGTACGATTCGTATAATAAACAATATTGTCAAGAATCTGGTTATATGACAGCGTCTAAACGAACATTCTTGGCAAATGTCAAAAGTCTTTTAGACGTACAGAATGGTGTATATACAAAGAAAAATTTTTCTGAGTAAATTTTAAAAAAAAATATTTTTTTATCCGATAGAAAAGATGACGAAATATATTTCAGTAAACAAGTACATGTCAGGACTTAAAGAAGAACTAGACCCATTCACATATTTGAATGTTTACTTCTACCATTTTGAAAAGTCTTCATTCAGCAAAGTTTGGAACATCGAACCAGTTAAGTTTGCTATTGTGACTAAAAATGGTGCGAAATTTGAAGACTTAGACATAGAAGGTTTGTTAACAGTCAAAGAAAGTTTTGACAGAAGGTTTTCAAACCTTAAAGAAGGCAAAGCATACAAACTGTTATACCTTATGAACCAAAGAAAGCAGACGACTATGAATATTATGAGTCTAAAGTTGTAGAAGTTCAAGGTAAATTGGGTAAAAAGATTTTAGAGTCTAAGCCGTGTTTGCTCCTAAAGAGGAAGAGAACATTGACATTGACCCAGAAATGTTCTAAAAATAAAATTTTATTTTTACATGTCAAATTTCTTTTTCTCTGGCTCTGGTTCTTTCTTCTCTTCTTCTACTTTCTTTTCTTTCTTTTCTCTCTTCTTCTTTTTGGTGGAGTTATGTCAAACTTCTCAGAACCATATTTTGTAAAAGTGCTTTGTCATTTAATAGCTCTTCTATTCTGTTTTCTATTTCATTTTCAAGAACAGCGCATGTGTCTTCTTTGCATTCTAAGAAGTTTTGTTGGACTTCATCTCTCCAAGAGGCGTCATCTCTGTCAACAAGTCTGTCATTGACAAATTTTAAGACTGCTCTGCTTAATGTTTTATGGTTCTTGTCATATTCCCAGAAACAGAACTTTAGAACAAATTCACCTTTCTTGTTTACACTATGTAAGATTTTATGGTCGACAGATGTTTTGCTGTCGAAAAGCTTGTCTCGAATATAGATAGCGAAATCGCTAGACATTTCTAAAAGATAAAAATTTTAATTTTTCTAAAAATATTTAGAAAAAAAGTTTGCTGACATTGACAAGAAATTTGAGAATGTTTTAAATAAGAACAAGAGGAAGTTGGAAAATGCTCAGATAAAACCCATACATGACAAGTTCTTATTTGCTCAGAATGGTATAACAGGTCTAATTGCACCACCTGGGTCGGGTAAGACTTTCACTTATCTTAAAATGGCTGCACAACAACAAGAACTAGATGAGAAGAACCCATTCTATGAGTTAGTAGTCATTTGTAGTACTTCGGGTCAATTTGACCAAACCGTCAATTCGTTCAAAGATATTATAAAGAAGTCTAAGTTAGTATGTATAAAAGACTCTGAGTTGTTAGATTGGATAAAGAAGTACCAAAGAAGAGTTTTGAAGTATAATGCTATAAATGAGTATGTCAATTCGAAGTTTAAAGACCCAAATGAGGAAATGCAGAGAATATTAGAGAAGAAACACTTCAGAAACAAACAGAAAGAGATAGAATACATTTCGAAGAAATTGCAATCTTACGATTGAAGACTTACCCTCACAGATGTCTTCTTATCTTAGATGACTTTGCTTCTCATCCTTTGTTAAAGAATAGAGAACAAGACATGTGTCGAATTCTTAAGAAGCTCAGACACTTTAACATCTCAGTTGTCATTTGTGTACAGACAGCAAAGAGTTTAAGTAAGGATGTTAAAAGAATACTTACTGACATAATACTTTTCCCCGGATTGTCCGAAGATGATTTCATGGAACTTATGAAAGAGTCCATGGCAGGTAAGTTTGACAGACATGAACTATGGGAGAAGTACAAAGTCATACAAGACCCTCATACTTCTTTCAGAATTCATATCTACGCAAACAAAGTTCAAATTGTAAAAAGTCAAGCTTGAAAAATGTAAGTGTTTAGTCTTAGTCTGTTGTGGTGCTGGGGCTGTCGGTTCTTCTGGCTTTGGAAGGCATTCAGGAAGAGGAACGTCAGTCATCCGTTTGTGTCCTGTCGGATGGAAGAACTTTTCCTGTCGGAAGGAAGAACTTTTTCTGTCGGAAGGAAAAACTTTTTCTGAAGTTCGACCAAAAAGTTCTCAATTTTGAATGGTTTACGGACGGACAACTGGAAATTTTTCCTGTCGGAAGGAAAAATTTTTCCTGTCGGAAGGAAAATTTTTTCCAGTTGTCGGGAAAATATTTTCCTGTCGGAAGGAAGGACTCGGAATGCCAGAAGGATTTGACAAGGCAATTTACCTTATAGAGCTACCTGAGCCATCTGAAGTCAAGCTTGAAAAATAAATGGTTCATTTACTCTGCTTGTTTGAAGTTGTCAAAATACTCTGTTATTTTTTCCTTTAACAATGGCAAATCTTCTTTGAAGGTAAGTATTGTACAACCTTTCATATCATAGTGTGTTTGAGGTAACGTATCTTGAACTATTTGTTTCACATCTTCATTCGGTGTCATTGAAATCGGTAAGTTTTCGCGATAGAACCAATTTCTGTCAGATTTGTAAATCTTAGCAAGGTCGTAAAAGCTTTTGTTGTTTCTTCTGACTAAATGCAACATAACCATATCTTTATCTTCTTCATTTTCCATCTCTTCAGTATAAATCATATACTTATAGTTCTTTTCCTTTCCTTTTGGTACCGAACGTGGTATTCTTTTCTGAATGCTTTTGTCTTTTGCTTCAAGCTTGTTTTCCATCTCTTCACGTTCTTGTCTATGAATTTCATCTAACATCATGAAAATATAACAAGCATAACGAGGTGAAGCCCACATTGCTACAGCATTTACAAGAAGTCTATGTACATAATATCCTCTCAAACCAGGAGCCAAATTCTTGCGATTTTCGTACGGAATCTCTACCCTCGATTTTTCGAGGGTAGCAAACATATGAGGAAATTCTTCTAAAAGTTCTTTTGTCTGTTGGTTTTCAAACCAATGATATGCTTGCTTTGTAGAACGAAGAGCATTCAAAATACTTTGCATTTGGTACATATCGTCTTTGACCGAACGAATGAGACGTAACTGTTTGTTATACTGTATGTACTCGTATTCTTCATTTATGGCTTCATGAACGATAGCAGTTGTTGTGTTCTCTGTTGTTGACATATCTGTCTTTACATACAAAATAAAAAAATATTTTATAAAAAATTAGCGTTATTTTCTGACTTTCACAAAAGACCAAAAATAAACGCTTTACATGTATTTTTCAGCAACTTCGTCAAATAATTTTATAGCACTATCTATCTCATCTACTTCAAACGTTTCTTTACCTTTTATGGAGCACCATACATTTCTCAAACTTTTCAAGTAGTTCTGTTTCTGCAGCTCTCATATCATTCACAAACACAACCTTGACTCTATTGACTGTATTGTCATATCTTTGAGTTATATTATATGTTCTTCCTATCTTATATCTCTTTGTATTGAAGTCCTTCGGTTTCTGAACGATGTAAAGTAAGCCTTCACTGCAACGTTCCGTATCGAATGAACCATATGTTATGAAGTTATATCCAACAACTGGGTCTAACCATAACAAAACTATTGGTATAAGACTTTTGTCTATAAGATATGCTGTAGTTCCATAGAATCTTACCGATATCATAAGCTCAGGATTTCTTGTCAAAATTTTCTGAGTAGAAGCAATTCTAACCCAGTCGTGTGCTTTCTTTCCAGATAGTGTTAGAATGTCTGACAAAGAATATTTGTTGTATTTCTTTGAGTATCTTACGTTTAAATCACCTATTCTAACTATTTTGGTGTCATTGTCTATCTTTTTAACTGTTTCAAACTCAATGTTTGTCATTTTCTGTTCTTACATACAAAATAAAAAAAAATATTTTATAAAAAACTAACTTTATTTTTTCTATCTTGTATAAAAGATATGATTTCAGGGATTTTTTTTACGAAGTGTCAAAGTTCACTTCGTAAAAAAATAACAGTTATATAATGAAATTTGGTCATTTTTTCACGATTTTCATAGAGTTTTTTTACGATTTTCATGAGTTTTAGGCGACCCCGAAAAAAGTCTGGGTCGCAAATTCTTGCGATTTTCGTACGGAATCTCTATCCTCGGTTTTTCGAGGGAAGCAAGCATATGAGGAAATTCATGATTTTTTGGTCATTTTTTCACGATTTCAGGGATTTTTTTTACGAAGTGTCAAAGTTCTCTTCGTCAAAAAAATACAGTTATATCATGAAATTTGGTCATTTTTTTCGGCAAAAATATATTTTAGGGTAGATGGTTAGATCTAACCTCATTTCTACCCTCATTTCTACCCCATATGTCCTTACTGAAAAAGTATGTGTTCCATATGTCATTTTACTCAGAATTTTATACAGAATTCGGCAAAAATATATTTTAGGGTAGATGGTTTTTAGGTGTCACCAGGTCACTCGGTCACTCGGTCAACTAACATCTTTTTGAAAATGGTGACAACATGACATTTTGACAACAACACAGGAAATAAACTTCTTCGTATATGTTTTGTCATGATTTCATCGTAATGAGCGTAAATCAGACAAAAATATATTTTAGGTGAAGAGGTGAGATCTAACCTCTTTTCTACCCTCATTTCTACCCCATATGTCCTTACTGAAAAAGTATGTGTTCCATATGTCATTTTACTCAGAATTTTATACAGAATTCAATAAAAATATATTTTAGGGTAGATGGTTAGATCTAACCTCATTTCTACCCTCATTTCTACCATAAAGTTTTATAAGCGTTTTACATGGTAAACATTGTGAATTCGTGAAATTCTAAACAATTTTGTGGCTTCTATTTCTTCTGTCAGTATGTCAAAAGTTTTCACAATATTGAATGTATCTTTATATTTCTTCTTGACATCTGAAAGAAGGAAATCGTCAGCAGTTGGATAGTTTTTGTTCAGAAATGTCAACATGTCCATTTTATCTTCTGCTGGTTTCTCTGCTTCTTTCTTTAAATCAGCATAGTCGTTTCGCATACGTTCTATCTCTTTGACAGAATAGTTATATTTCCTTATTGCTGCTTTACATTTTGAACATTGTGGGTTCATTTTTGCGTTATATTCTGAAACCTTACCTGCTAAAACAACTAAGGCGTCAATGGTTTTCTTTAACTCAAAAGTTGCGGGTTTTATTTGTCCGTTCCATATTTTACCTCTTCTATCTTTATCTCTTATCTGCCATACACATTCAGCAACTAACGAAACAAAGTTGTCGTAGGTCTTAAATTCTTCAGATTTATATATGTCAGAAACATTCTTATATACCATATCGCAGTCTTTGTCCATGACTTTGTGGTTGCAATGAAATCCAAGAAACTCATAGTTAACCTTACGTATGAACTTCTTTATTTCTACTGAGTCAGTTGCTTTGACTTCAATTTCTTCAAATTCTGGAATAGTAAGCTTTTGTTGTTGTATTTCAGGAAGTTTAGGTAGATGGTCAATAATATCCTGCATTTCATAAAGATATTCTTCATTTGTTTCATCTTTCGCACTACAGCCTAAATCTCCTTGGAGAAGTTCCTGCTTTATCTTCTGGATTTCTGTTTCGAAAGTATATGAAGAAGGAATGAAGCTTTTCATTTCTACTAACATAGATGTTGGGTTCATGACTAACGAGTTTGGTGAAGTTGTTGCTAACATGTTCTTACAATAAAAATAAAAAATATTTTTTTAAAAAAACTAACTTTATTTTTTATGTTTTTTGTGAAAGTGTCAAAATTCAAGAGTTTTGTGTGTTTTCTACGATGGTAGAAATGAGGGTAGAAATGAGGTTAGAAATGAGGTTAGATCTAACCATCTACCCTAAAATATATTTTTATTGAATTCAGCAACAAAATTCAAGAGTTTTGTGTGTTTTCTACGATGGTAGAAAGAATACGGTGGAGCCAAAAGTGGCTCGACCTCAAAACAAGCATTTTGTGAAGAATATAGCAACCGCCAGAATACAGACGGTTGGTTTTTATACAAAATTCAACGGGTGAAAAAACAGGTGAAAAAACAGGTGAAAAAAGAGGGTAGAAATGAGGGTAGAAATGAGGTTAGATCTAACCATCTACCCTAAACTTTATTTTTCAATACTTTTTCAGCACTTTTCCGTAGTTATATATGAAAGACAATTCGAGATAAAAGTCATAGTACAATGGTATTATATGTTGCACACCATTTGTTGTGAACCAAACTTGAAAGTCAGAGAAACTGTTACTAGGTGGTTCGTAGAATTTAGAAGCAAAGTCATAAAAGTCCTTACCAATACATAGAAAACTATTGTTGCTTGAACTGAAACTTGCATGACACATAACATTTTGAGGGTCAAATACGTTTCTATAAACTGTCAAATCTGCTGGTGGAAGTATAAATTTAAATGGACCATCTGGTGGTAATGGTTCGTTCTGGTTTAGTAACCGAAGAAATTGTGCCCAAGAACGTTTGTCTACTTTCCAAAATAAAAACTCTGTATCTCTTGGAGGGTTAATTTCAATCTTTTGAAATGAAACGGTGGAGTTCATCTTGTCATATTCTAGTTTCAGATAGTATGTTCCATTTAGTAAAGAGTCGTATTTTTCTTGAAATTCCCAATAATATTTGTTCATTTGAGTTTGAAAGTCATTTAGAGTTTTCTCAAGACTTTCGTCTGAACGAACCGTAAAGATTCTCATTTCGTCAAATTTGTCTATTAGACCATCAGAACCTTTATACTGCCCATGAAAATATACTGCGAACATAAATGCGTTAGTTCTATTTGAAAACAAAACTCTTCTAAATCCTATTGCCTTTGCATCTGAAGGACTTTGAAGCCAACGAATTGGATAGTCAAACCTGTATGCTCCGGATGAAATTTCTTCATCTGAAATAGTCCTACCAGCATTTGTAAAGATATAGTCTAACGGTTTTGTATCTGCTACTTTTGTTCTTTGTTTTTCAACCTGAAGCATTTAATATATGTAAAAATATATTGTTTTAAAAATTTTTTACTTCATGCAATGTTTTATTTCTCATCTAACAAACAAGTTTCCCAACGGTCTTCTCCAACAAACTCAGCGTACATTTCAAATAAAATTTAAAAAATGTCACTTTTTTGAAAAACGTTTTTACTTCATGCAATGTTTTATTTCTGTGCCGTCTTCAAGTATGCCCCAGTACTTACGCTTGGAGAGGACATGAACTTCGGAAAATACCTTATCTAGCTTAAAACAGCCCATCTTTTCACCGACCATTCCCATTTCAATGAGTTTGTTGTATCCTTCTTCGTTCGTCATGAGTGCGTCAATGTTCTCATAGTAAACCTTCACTTTGGATTTGACTTCGGAGAAGAATTTGTTGTAGTTGTCAAGGACTGCTTTTGCGAACTGAGGGTAAGACCAATGTTCGACAATAGGTTTTAATGTGGTTACTAAGCCACTTTGACCTTGAGTGAATTCGTACTTCAAAACAAAAGGAGAAAACCTTTCAACAAAGTTGTCGACCTTCTCATAATGTTTACTCTTCATCTCTTGAGGTTTCTTAATGGAATATCCCCATGTCGAATTCATAAGCAATTTGAGTGTCATTGCAAGTTTGGGGTTTGAAGCTTCCCTAATATCATACAGTTGTTGTATGACTTTTCCAACTGTATAGTTCCTTCCCGGGAACTCACCATCTTCGTTTGGAATTCCAGTCGGAATATATTGGACAAACCTCATGTATGCAGCGTTAAGGTCGACATAGTATATCTTTTCATCTGAGTCGAACTTGTCGCAACCAATTGGTCCAGTTTGTGGAAATTCAAGTGAGTCTCTTATCTTCTGAGAAACTTCTCCTGTTATCTCATAAACATCGTCGAAGCAACCTGTTTCATATAAAACCTTCTGACCTAACTCAGAAGCTCTCCAATACAATTTGACGTCAATTGGATGTCTCAATGGAAGTTTGTTTATAGCATCTTGAAGTTCTTGCAACCTCATTGGAAGTTCTTCTGGTTCAGGTTGGTATCCGAACAATCCAACTCCTTTTGGAACTGTGTACTTCTTTTGTGCTAGAACTTTGTCTGGAACAACTTTTGGTCTTGCTAACAATGAAAAGTTTGTTTCGTCTTTTGGTACAAAAGTTTCTGTCAGCTTGTCATCTGGAATTGGTTCCAACAAACCTTTCTCGAAAAGAATGTTTACAGCTCTGACAATGTTGCACTTGCCTTTTCCGAACAATGGGTTTGTAAGACTTTCGTTCAACATGAAGTGGTTGTTGAAAATTACAATCTTCAACCATGGTAAGTCTTTGTCAACAACATAGTCGTCATGTGAAGAACCTTTAGCTGTAGGTATGTTAACTCGGATATTGACATTTGCCAACGGTGCAATTTTTGCCAATTGACCTCTGAGAATGTACCTTGTCTTCACACATGACTCAAGATACTTCATCTTCTCATCTGTAACAAGACCAGAGTTCCTGAGACATGTAAGAATACAAGGTTCATTGACAATTATTTCAATTGAATTGTAAATTCCATACCTTGTCAAGTCAATGTCAGACTTATTTATGAACGGGAAGTATCCAGCATGTTGTCTGACTGCTTGAGGGTTAGGTTGGTACCATTCGAACTTGACACTTGCAATTCCTTCAATTGCATTCAAAATGTCTGAGTCGGAGTCAACCATTTGTTCTCTCTTTGTAGTCTTGAAAGCGTCAAGAAGTTGTGCGGCTGTTTGTTCATTGCCATGTGCATAGTAAATGTGACCATCCAAATCTGTTATGGTCAATCTGAGATTGTGTCCTTTCTTATTTCCGTCTTGAATTGCAGCAAGTACACCCATGAAGCCTTCTTTGTTCTTTCCTTCGTCAAAGTTTACTGTAAAGGTTCGACCAGATGTAATTTGACTTCTAACTTCACGATACTTTTCATATGAATATCTTGTTCTTTCCATGGGAGCATGTGTGTCTTCACCTTTTCCTTTTTTCCTTCTCAAAGGATGCAATTGTTCGTCATGTTTCCAGTAGAATCTGGCAAAGCCGTCGTGTCCTTCAACTTGAGGTTCACTAACATCGAAAGGCATGTCCATAAGACGTTCTTCTTCTAACCTCTCTAGTCTGTTTGGATAATTTGCACGTGCTGTTTCCAAATCCATTTCGTAGCGAAGACCAGACAATTTGTCATAGACTTTTATGGGTCTTCCCTTCCTATATTTAAAATTCTTCGAAACTCTCCAACCATATCTTTGCAACTCTGCTTTTATTCTAGCAGATTTTCTATCCATTCTATATGGGGGCATTTTTATAAAAATAAAAAAATATTTTTTTTCTTTACTTAACATAACCGCCTGCTGCCATAAGTCTTTGACGCCAACCCATACCAGCTAATGAAGGTTGACTTGGTTTAGTTTGGAAACTAAACTTTGGTTTTGGTTTATCTTCAGTTTTTGGTTTCTCTTCTTCTATCGGTTTTTCGTCACTTTTCGGTTCCTCTGACTTTACTTCACTTGCAGGAACAGTTGTGTCGTCAACATCTTCATAAATATCATATGCCATTTGTTTTTGTTTTCCTTTCAACTTTTTGTGTTTGTTGTAAAGTTTAGAATATTTCGACTCTAAGTCAATGAGATGTTCTATAATGAACTGTTGGTCAGTGAAGTAAACTTTTCCATCTGTTGTCTCGAAAGCTCCTTCAGACTTCAATATTTTATTTGTGAGAGTCTGTTTCTTTTTTGAGATACTTGCCGTTCCATTTTTATGAAAAGTGACTTTGTAGTTAGGGTTTGTATTTCCAGACCTGGCACTTTCTATTATTGAATTTTTCTCTTCATCTGTAAGTTCTTTGAAAGGTTTTGACAATGGTTCTGAACTTTTTGTTTGTGGTGTCAAATCTACCGTTTCAACTTCTTCGGTCATTTCATCTCAGTAAAAAATTTTAGTTTGGTTTGTTTTCAACTGGTTGTTTAGGTTTTTTAAGTCGGTCTAAAACTTCCTGAGGTATAGGAAGAACTTGACAAACACGTTGTGTAACTGCTGGAAGCCGACAAATCCATCTTGAACCCATTTGTCTCAATGCTGTATTGTTCATTTCATCTCAGTAAAAAAATTTACATTCCCACGTTTGAGGCGGTTGAGGTTGGTTATTGTTTACCCACTGTTGTGCATGGTTATATCCTCTGTTAAAGAATCTTTCACCTTGGTCCATATAGTGTCCTGCTTGGTTATAGTAGTCATTTGCTTTGTTATAATAGTTTCCTGCTTGTCTTCCTACATTGTCCATCCATCCTTGAACTTTTCCTCTTGTTTCAGGATTTGGAATAAGATTTGTTGCATCTCGTGCTACATCCCAACCTTTCTGTACAGTTTGTATAATAGGTTGTGCTTTCTCTTTAAGTATACCTAATGTACTCAAAATCTTCCTTCCAACTCCAAATACACCTCTGGCTATTGTTCCCACTGCGGGCAAAAATCTGGATGCAACTCCTGCTAATGCGCCAAATAAACCCATTTCTTATGGGTTAAAAAATGACGAATTCAAACAAGGACCCTATGTTTCTAAGGCAACAAAGAAAGCACTCATGGTAAAAATCTTTAGTTCAACACCAAATGCTTGGTTTATGGATATCTTGGAAAACATTCCGAGAGTTAGAACAGATGGACCACCATACTGGCTAATATTTGTCGGTCAAAACACAAGATACTGTGAAGCCATACCATTATGGTCCAAAAATATTTTAGATGTGAAAACTGCTTTGACAATATTCGTTGACAAATACCATCCAACAAAACTGACATCTGACTATGAAAGTTCTTTCAAATCAGACGATATTAAAAACTATCTGCGTTCAAAAAATGTAAACCAATATTTCATTGTCGACCAAAACCATTCTGCTCTTGGTGTCATTGACGGTTGTATAAAAATGTTAAGAGACTTAAACCAACCACAAGGTGGTGAAGCAAATGAAATGTCATATGACGACAAGTATAGACACTTCTCCATGGCAAAGATGAGACAAGTTTTAAATATTTACAATAGCCGTAAACAAAAAGGTTTGGGAAACCACTCCCCGAAGAAATGAAAAACAACCCTGACTTAGAGAAAGACTATATATTTAACAATTTAGTCAAAAGAGACAAACAAGAAAGAATGCCGGGCTTCAAACTTCAGAAAGGTGACAAAGTAAAAATAGAAATACCTAAACGCGACCCATATGAAAATACTATTGACTATGACAACAATGGGAACCCGACAGGTACTCACGTTCGTGTTCGTAAAAATAGAAGAAAGTATACAAGAGAATATTATGAAGTTTTAGGCAAACATGGCAAAATGTACAGACTGCAAGCAGAAGATAAAACTACTATTGTCAGACCTCGTTTCCAACTTGTCAAAGTTCAAGGTGGTATACTTTCAAAGACAGTTCCTAACAAATATAAGACAACTCCTGACGAATATGCTAAAGAAGTTGAAAATGACGACTAAGCAATTCTATACCATGCGTAAACTGTCATGTAAGGTGGCATGTAGTCTGTTCCATTTCCTGTAGATGTTGTTGTAAAAGTATGTTGGTGGTTTCCAGTTGTATCTGTCCACATTCCATTCCAGTCTACTGGGTCGTTTGGAAAATGAGATCTTGACATAACTTGAATTTGCATTGAAGTCTGAGAAACAGTGTTATATCCTTGTTTGCAAACCCTATGACTATGGTTTCCATTAGAACTTGTTGTACCAGAATGACTATGTGGTGGCAAGTTGTCGACAGATATCTTTTTGCTTCCACCTGTTTCCTTTGAAGAGTTTGCACAATACAAAAACCTGTCGACTATTTGTTCCCATGCACCAACACCAAACATTACTTGAGGACCACTTGCTTCCATAGATGTATAAATAGAACCTACTGGGTTCATTAAATCAAACATATGAGACATTATAGGATTGTCTCTTTTGAGCTTAAAATATAGTGCAACTATTTCAGGTTTCTTCTGGTTTGTGTCAGAATATTTTTTATAATATAATCTTATGGAGTAGGTGACAAAAGTGCATACTCTTAAATTAACCTTAAATGTTTATTTTTCGATATTTTCGGTATTAACCTTATTGTAAATTTTTCCGGTGATAAATTTATCACACTGAGGTTATTTTTCCGGTGAGATTTTTAACCTTGATTTAATGAAATTAATATATATAAATTTTATTATTTTTAATTTCGAATGAGTATAATAAAATATTTTTTTATATCGTCATAACTCTCATCACTGTTGTGATTCCAAATGCGATTATTAAGGTTCAAGTCGCTAATGTTTTGAATGAAGATAGAGCAGTAAGAATTCTTACAAGGGCAGGTAATCAGATTGTTGAGCAAAGAGCTTCAAAACACGATGAATGTTTGAAATTAATTCAACACATTTTGGAAATTGTCGAAAGCCGAAGGATTGAACCTAATGTCCTTATTCCATCTTTGAAGACAATATTAAATTTGGCACAAAGAAGTTTAAAGGAAGAGTAAGCAAGATTAGATAATTTGGACTTTTTTTAAAATTAATGAATAAACAGTATATTTTTGAAGTGTAAGCTTATTTACCTGAAGCTATATTACTTAATATAACATTCAAAGTATTATTGCTATTTATGGGAGAACAAATTTATGTAATTTTCACATGAAAATTGATAAATTTGTATTTCCTTATGATAATCAATTTTTTGTATTTGTAGAGAGTCTCCCTGCATGATATCAAGACTTGGCTATTGGTCTTTATCCATTTTTGAAAATTGTATTGTAAATTGTAAGAATTTCTGAATACTACTACTATAAAATATAATTGCTTATCAATGTATATTCTCCCTGCATGATATCAAGACTTGGCTATAAGTCTTTATCCATTTTTGAAAATTGTATTGTAAATTGTAAGAATTTCTGAATACTACTACTATAAAATATAATTGCTTATCAATGTATATTCTCCCTGCATGATATCAAGACTTGGCTATAAGTCTCTATTCATTATGAGTATGACCCCATTTTTTTTACAAAAAGTGCCGAATTGCAACTTTGTCCCAATCTCTAATCTTATGTTTTCAGGGTAGGTAAAATCTTGACTATAATATTTATTTCTGTCATCTTCATAATAGTATACTATTCTCGTTTTTTCTATTGCATTATATCTTTTATATCTATAATATTCTAAATATAATGTTTGCTTTTGTTCATCTACATGTGGTGTTCTGTCGTCATCTCCATAGTCATAATAATATGGTGCTGGAGCTGGGTCAGGCAATGTCATATCTGTCATTTCATAAACACTTAAATATTTCTTTTGTTCGTCTCCATATAAGTTTAAGTAGCAGTTGTTGTCTAATGGAACTTTAACTTGTGTACCATCATTATTTTTATAGCTTACATACATTTCATTGTTATTTTTCGGAATGAGTTTATACCGTATACCATTTTTTAAGGACTGTACAAACTCCCATCTAAAATATTTGTTTTCTTCATAGATAGAAAAGTCACCAACAATAGTTTCAATATTTTTTGTTCCAACTAAACTTTGGTATATTTCATTGACATATGTTTTATCTGCTTTCTTCTCTAACTCATCGTTAACATATTCCTTATCCGCTTTCTTCTCTAACTCATCGTTAACATATGTTTTATCCGCTTTAAAGTCTAAACATCCTGAAACCCATCCTGTATCAGCTTTAGTTTTTAAAATCTTCGATGTCCATTCATGATACCATTCAACCCTTTCTTTAATTTCATTATCTTTTTCATCCACATATTCCTTATCCGCCTTCTTCACTAACACACTAGCCACACATCCCTTATCCACCTTCTTCTCTAACTCACTGTTGACATATGTTTTATCTGCTTTCTTTTCAAGGCTAACGTTTAAGTCTGTTATTTCAGATATAGAATGTGTATGTCCAACGTTACTTTTACTGTTTAAGGTTTCTTGTAAGTTTGTAATATTTGCAATGGTATGTGTATGAGTCTTATTTGCTTTTGTCTCTAAGGTTTCTTGTAAGTTTGTAATATCAGATATAGAATGTGTATGAGTCTTTTTAGAATATTCGTTTTCAGCTCTTGTCACTTCACTTGACATTTTATTGTCAACATATGTTTTGTCTGCTAGTTCAGGATGAGTATGTTCTTTTGTTGCATAAGCATTGTTAGCTCTTTCTTCTTCTTTTGCTATTGCATCGTCTACATATTCTTTGTCAGCTTTGTTGTCAACATCTGCTTTCAAAAGAAGTTCATTTATAGGTTTCTCGTTTAAAGTTCCTTTTGTTGGATTTATACAGACAGTATTGTTCTTCTTGTCTTGAAATAGAAACTCATCTGTCATTGGGTTTAATGTCAGTTTTAAGTTTCCTTCTTTCAATGACTCAGATATCTTAGAATAGTTTGAAAAGTTTGTTGTGTTCTTATTTAGAGCTTGTATAATGAGTTGTCGGTTGTGTTGTATTTCTCTCATAGACGCTGTTTCATTTGACATTTTTATTCTAGATAAAATATGCTTTCAATAGAAAAGAAAATTCAAGAGTTGCTACAACTAAACCATTAGATGAACTTTTTACTAATGTAGGTCAAAAGTTTGAGACAGAGACCGTAAAGCATGAAGGCTATCGTTTTGACTACCCATTAAGATGGTTAAGAGACCCATCTGTCACAAAAGCTATTGGCTTTCGTAGAATGAAGTTCATTTCAGAAGCCATACATGGTTTCCCATTTACGGTCGGTTTTGTAGTTCGATACTATAACAAAGAAAAACGTACGTATGAGAAATTTGAACAGGGAAAACTTTTACAAGTTAGTTTGCTTGTAAACTTAGAAACAACTCTTCAAGCTTTTCAAGAAAAAATAAACGATATCTATCTCGAATATGCAAACCAGTATAACATTGACGAAGGAGAGTACCATCTCGATATTATATATGACAGGAAAAATGCAACTGTTAAAATCAATAGAATAGAAGACCTTGGAGAAAACGTTTATATTTCTACAAAATATAACAACTTGGCATGGTATAGATTTATGAGGATGTTAAATCAGCCTGCAGAATATCCAGTACACCCGAACTTTTATGAAGTCGAAAACCCTAATGGAACATATGAAAATGTTTTCGACCAAGATGCTATTATAGTTCATGCTTCATTTTCTGGCGCACAAAACTCTTTTTTATGCTTGGCAAATGACTTTTACGAAAAACCTACAAAGTTATATGAACCACCGAGTGGAAGTATTTCAGACTTTCAAGTATGGTTTACTACAGATGGAAGAAAGAGAATAATTCCATTATACCATGCGTTTTACTTAGAACTTAGTTTCATATACAACTACTATCGAACGGTAAAAATATAATTTTTTAATACGGTTGAGGTGTTGGATTTGGTTGCCAACTAGACTGTGGTGCAGGTTCAGGCTGTTGTATAACAGGAGCTTGTTCTTCTGGTTCAGGGTCTTTAGGTATAATACCAACAAACTGACCTACTCTTTTACCAATATTTTTGACACCGTTCCAAATTCCTTTTCCGACAGATTTTATTCCATTCCATATACCTCTTCCAACTCTTCTGAAGAAGTTTCCAATACTACTGAAGAAACCCATTTTACTATATGTAAAAATCTAATGTCCACCTAGTCTTTACGTTTCCTGTTGAGTTCCATAGCATTCTTTAACTGGAGCTCATACATTCTATTTCTCCTCTGGTAGAAAACATATTCTGGGTCAACTCCTGTGTTCGCGTCATCTGCATAAAGTTGTTTATATCCCACTTCAGGGTTTGTATAAAACTCTTTCCATCTCATATTTGCATACCATGGTGGCAAACCTAACGCAGCGTCATTTGACATGGCAGTTTGCATTTGTACATCTGTTGGCACTTGACCATAGTTTGCCATTGCAGTTTGTATTCTAACTTCATTTGGAATATTCTCTGGGTTTGGTTGTCCAGGTTGCTGTGCATTCGCTAAGTTCTGTGCGTCCATTTAATATTAGATAAAAATATCTCTTACGAGTACATATGCTGAACATTTGCAGGCATTGGTTCATCTTCATATTCTCTGTACTTTTCTGCCACGTCAAATAAATAAATGACACAATGGAAAAAACCTAAAACAAGTAGTCCTATTTCAAACCACATTTACTTACTAATAAAATTTCTTTATTGTGACACTTTCTCCAGTTTATAGGACCTCTCTCATATTCTATCTTGTCATATATAAACTCATAGTCATGTATGTCCTCTAACCATCTCATAACGGTTTCCAAACCACTTTTATCGGATGTAAAGTAAAAGCATGGATGGTTATGTATAACGTCTAAAGTTTCTAAAGAGTCTCTCAAAGTCCAGTCTACTTGGTATTGAAAATCCCATGTGTTATAGAACGGCGGGTCCACTATAAAGAAAACATTTTCCTTGTCTTTATATTTTTCATACAACTCTGTCCAACGACATCTCACAAACTCTATACCCTCAATATATTTTTCTATGTTCTTTTTGAAAACATTTGTATAGTTAAGATATAAAACTTTTGACATAAGTGTTTCAATGTCATGAACTCTTATAGAACCACTATATAATAGTCTAGCAGATATACTATCCCAGTCTATATATTCTGCTTTTTTCAAAACCTCTCTCACAATATTTTTCTTATCTAATGGTATACTTTCCATCTTACCTATAGGTATCTTTTCTTTTAACTCTTTCAATATATTGTTTGTGTCTGGTATATGTTTGAGACGGTTCATATAGTTGTCGAAGTCATTGCATATAATCTTTGAGTCAGGGAATACGGTATGGCACAAATGGGATATATAGAAACTTCCACCGAACAAATCTACAAATGTTAGACCATTCGGTAGTTTCTTAAGTTCTCTCAATAGAATATCTTTACATCTACTCTTATTTCCAAAGAACGGTAACGGTGGTTTTGTAAAATTCATTTATATATAATAATAAAAATGTTTTTACCTGAAAAGTGACAGAAAAGTGACAAAACATGAAAACATATATATTTTGTGAAAAGCTCCTGGAAGACCCGTATATAAGAACTTCATTTATACTAAACATCTTCGGGGCTAGAGGGCGCAACGCGCCTGGAAGCCCCACTTCCTTTTTTTTTATACAATAAGAAATATATTTATAAGTTTTTTTTTGAAAAATGTTTAAAATTGAGAGATCAAAATTTCGATTTGTGAAAAGAAATCATAAATCAAATATGTCCTAATTTTTGTTTTTATTAGGGTATACATGTTTTATACTCGAAGTACGGTATGTTGTTGTTTTTTTATTCAATAATTAAAAACTTGCATACAGGTCGTAAGGTGTTGGAATATCGTACACAGAGGTTACGCACATGTCTAGGGCAACTATTTGTTATGAATGAGTGTATTTTAAAAGATTTGAAATATCATAAGATTGATCCAAAATGGCATTATAATAAATGTTTTTATCAAATGTTAATTATATTTTAAATAAAGTAATGCAAAATTAATGACTTTTGAAAATTGAGAGAGAGAACAGAGGTGGGTCAACGATAGAATAAGGTTAAAAATTTCGTTTCGAGCATAATAAATCAATTATATTGAGCTATCTAATATATATATTTAAATAATATCATAATAGATAAATCATACACTTCCTAATAAATCATTTTGAATATGGATGAATAGCATAAAAATGATCTCTTGAAGTGTAATTTGAAGAAAAAACGAATCATGATAAAAAGGTAGGTTTATCGAGTATAAATTGTTTATTTGTAAAACCATTAATAAATTTAACTTCAAATGATAGGGTCAAGTTTGAATGCAAAATTCTAAATAATTTTCTATTAGAATTCTTAGAGCTTGATTCTAATGTAATGTGTTCTTAGTAAAGTATCGTAAACGAGATATCCAATTAGGAACCACACGTTTGTTTTTAAAATAAAATTTGTACTTTTTGAATTAAGACCGAAGTTTGGTAGATCATATCAACAGTGCAAATTGTTCGTGATACTAGTAAGTTAATTGAAAAATGATGATGAGAAAAAAAGGGAGTAGAATGATAGGACATATCACACCAAAAATAAATGAATTTTTGTAAATCAAATATGATTAAATGAATTTAAATAGATTATAGGAGATAGTAATTAATAAAAAAAAAGTAAAATGTTATTCACCAAAAAAGTACGTTAGTTAACGGTTTTTTAATAGTAAAATAAATATAAAATACACAATAGGAAAGTCATGTAGAATTAGTTATTATTAAAATTATAGAGAAAAGGAGCAAGATAAATTAAAAAAAAATTCTCGAAATTTGAATACAAAGCTTTTTAAAAAGTGTTTGTATTAATTTCGAGAATCCTAATTTTCGAAAATTGAAACGACGAGTTTCAATTTTCGAAAATTACAAATTTTATTATAACGTTTTAGACTAAATTATTTAGATTTTAAAAAGAATATTAAAAGTATAATATGAGTTTGTGAAAATGATTTCAACATTAGATAAAATAAATCGAATGAGATATAAAAATGATAAAGTTACTGTTTTAACCGTAATGACTTGTATATGTGTTGTATTTGCTAAATAATTGGATATGGAAATAAAGAATTTATCTAATTATCATTATTGTGCTATATTGAATGTGATGAGTAGTTTGAAATTGATAATAAATTAATTTATTGAATCAGTTAACATCTGAAGAAATTTTGAAGGGTATATATGACGTACAAATGTACTAATCTCAAACGATTGGTACATATGTATCAACTTTTTTTGAATCACAAAAAATTCAAAGAAAATTTGAAACCAAGACAGATATAACAATGATATGTCTACCTTGAACTGTATATGACAGTTCATATGCTCAAAACAGATTGTTGATGCATATGTTTCATCTTTTCTTTAAATCAAAGAAGATTCAAAGAAAAGTGGATAGAAAGAAAGCCATTGTTTTGTGATGGCTTTCTTTAAAAGCATATATTGGTTAGAATTGTACAAGTCTCAAAGAATTAGTAGATATGTATCAACTTGTCTTGAAATCATAAAGGATTCGAAGAAAAATTGAAAAAAAGACAGCCATTGATAGACAATGGTTGTCTTTGTGTGCAACATTCACTTGTATTGACAACAATAACAAGTTATTGTTGTCATGAGCAACTTTGTGAAGAATCATTTGTGATTCTTCTTAAAGTTGTATCAAAGACACTCATTATTATATAATGATTGTCTTTGTGTGCAACATTCACTTGTATTGACAACAATAACAAGCGAATGTTGCTCATAATGCAACTTTGAGAAGAATCATTTGTGATTCTTCTCAAAGTTGCATCAAAGACACTCATTATTATATAATGATTGTCTTTGTGTGCAACATTCACTTGTATTGACAACAATAACAAGCGAATGTTGCTCATAATGCAACTTTGTGAAGAATCATTTGTGATTCTTCTCAAAGTTGCATCAAAGACAGCCATTATTATATAATGATTGTTTTTGTTTCAACTTTTCTTCGAATCTTTTGTGATTCAAAGAAAAGTTGATCTAAAAGTACCAAACGTTTGAGATTGGTACATTTGTACGCAATATATGCTTTGAAAGAAAGCCATGACAAAAGAATGTCTGTCTTTGTTTCAACTCTTCTTCGAATCTTTTGTGCTTCAAAGAAAAGATGAAACATATGCATCAACAATCTGTTTTTGATGCATATGAACTGTCATATACAGTTCAAAGGTAGACATATCATTGTTATGTCTGTCTTTGTTTCAACTTTTCTTCGAATCTTTTGTGATTCAAAGAAAAGTTGATCTAAAAGTACCAAACGTTTGAGATTGGTACATTTGTACGCAATATATGCTTTGAAAGAAAGCCATGACAAAAGAATGTCTGTCTTTGTTTCAACTCTTCTTCGAATCTTTTGTGCTTCAAAGAAAAGATGAAACATATGCATCAACAATCTGTTTTTGATGCATATGAACTGTCATATACAGTTCAAAGGTAGACATATCATTGTTATGTCTGTCTTTGTTTCAACTTTTCTTCGAATCTTTTGTGATTCAAAGAAAAGATGAAACATATGCATCAACAATCTGTTGTTGATACATCTGAATTGTATTATACCCTCTAAAAGAAACCCTAACAATCAAATAGCTTTCGTTCTATCAATTTTTCTTCGAATCTTTTATGATTTATAAAAGAATTTATAAATATAATCAGATTCAATTCTAACTTTACATATATATACTATTTATCTATATAAATATTCAAAATACTAGTTAAATAAAATTATTATGTCCTTTTTGAACTAAAATCTCTAATATCAAAAATACCCCTAGTCTCATAAGTTAAATAAAAAAAAAAAAAAAAAAAAAAAAAAAAAGGAAGTGGGGCTTCCAGGCACTTCGTGCCTTCTAGCCCATAAGAAATTTTTGTTTAGATTAAAATTAAAATTTTTATTCTGAAATGTTTGCTTTAATGTTTTTTATGGATGGAAATGAACTGGATATCGTCTGAGTCTTCGCTTGTTTCCTCCTCTTCTTCTTCTTCGTCCGAATTGTCTTCATCTTCACAATAACCAGATAAGAAGATGGTTATTTTGGTTTGTTCTGGTTTTTTGAGAAGCATTTTGGCTGTGCCAGTAAAAACGAACTCAAGATTTTGATAGAATTGTCTGCTTGAGTGAGTGAAATTGCATACTGTAAGTGGCATTGCAACTCGGTTTGCTTGAACAGATATTATTGAAACTTCTTCTCCATCTGGTATCCGTTCAGGAATATCTAAAGCGGCTGTTGTGATAATATGCATATTGTTTTCGTAATGCAATTTTGGATATATTTCGAATGGATGTGCAGCTACACCAGCTGGAGCAACAATGGAAAGATTCCAGGAGAAAGAACCGTGTTTGTTTTCATCTTCTTTCCAATTGTAAGTTAAAGGATAAGGGCGAAAGTCTTTGAGTGTTTCATATAGCTGTTCTCTTAAGTTTGGTTCACAGCAAAGAATGAA